TTTATATATATATATATATAAAACAAATGAAAAAAACATTTTATAATAATTTTATTTGTATTTTTTTGATTATTTAAATAAAATTAAGATTTTTTTAATGTAAATTATTAAATGACAATGGAATTGCACAATTAACTCATAAGCAATCAGCACACTGTTCAGGCAGTAAATATGGGGAAGGAACGAGAAATGAAAACAACATTTTTATGGCTTGATAAAGACATGTTCGTTGCGTTTGCCAGATTCCTTTCTTCACTGAAGCTGTGTGGTGTCTGGCTGACACAGGAAACTTGGGCCTCAGTTCACACTAACTTGGTAAAGCAGAAAAGGCTTGAAAAAAAAGATAGTATCTAATGGCCCATCTACATCAAAGCAATTAAGCATATGAAAGCCTTTCTGACTGACAGCATCCTTTGCATAATCAGCCTCTGCCAAAAAGACCATGGAAACAATAGTGGAGGCTACACAAAACCAAAGCTAGCTCATCATCCAGTCATCTGATTAACATTAGTGTGAGAAAATACTGCAATGAATGCCCTTCATAATTGACAATGTGTATATTTGTATTATATTCTGACTGAGGAAGGAGTCAATAGCTATCAACACAACTCTATTGTAAAACGGAGACAGCTGCAGCTTCCAAAGCGGTCACGTCATATGATCCAAGAACAGTGACATGAAGGATGAGAAGCATGAAGATCTGTCTTATGATCTTATAACTGTTTGTTACTGGCTACTATACCAACATCTCAAGATTCATGCTACTCAAGATCACTGCTTAAGAGCTCTTTGGACTTAACTTTATGATCAGAACTGTTAATAAGCTGTTTTCTGGAATACTTGATTGGCATTGGGCAGTGAAATATGGCCACTAAAATGTATTTAGGTTACAATTATTATATATATAATATATATACAGTATCTCACAGAAGTGAGTACACCCCTCACATTTTTGTAAATATTTTATATTTTCTATTCATGTGACAACACTGAAGAAATTACACTTTGCTACAATGTAAAGTAGTGAGTGTACAGCTTGTATAACAGTGTAAATTTGCTGTCCCCTCAAAATAACTCAACACACAGCCATTAATGTCTAAACCGCTGGCCACAAAAGTGAGTACACCCCTAAGTGAAAATGTCCAAATTGGGCCCAAAGTGTCAATATTTTGTGCGCCCACCATTATTTTCCAGCACTGCCTTAACCCTCTTGGGCATGGAGTTCACCAGAGCTTCACAGGTTGCCACTGGAATCCTCTTCCACTCCTCCATGACGACATCACGGAGCTGGTGGATGTTAGAGACCTTGAGATGCTCAGTAGGGTTTAGGTCTGGAGACATGCTTGGCCAATCTTCAGCAAGGCAGTGGTCGTCTTGGAGGTGTGTTTGGGGTCGTTATCATGTTGGAATACAACTATGGATCATGCTCTGCTTCTGTATGTCACAGTACATGTTGATAAAATATTTACAAAAATGTGAGGGGTGTTCTCACTTCTGTGAGAAACTGATATATATATATATATATATATCATACACTTATTATTATAGTTATTATCAATTTAAATATATTTAATTCTATTATTCTAATAACTATGCATGATTACACTTGCATGATTTTTCTACTGTTACTATCATAGATCTGTGATCCATTTTTGGGTCACAACTCACTGATCTACAGGACAGTTCAGAAGTGAAAAAGCACAAAAAGAGGTTACAAAACTATTACAACATCTCATATAAGCCTGAAGCTGCATCATGCACTGCTGTGAATCACCTCTACGCTCTCTTGCTAACTCAAAGACAGTGATTCATCAGGTTTTGTCTTTTTTTCTAAATAGGGAGGCTTCAGTTGTATAACAAACTATTAATAAGTCCAGTCTGCTTTTATGGGCAGCAACAGTTTGGCGTTCCCGATCTGACCTTTTGCTGCTTTCCAGTTCTGCAGTGCTTGAGGGCAATGAGCACACGCACACACACACACACACACACACACACACACACACAAAAACACAGGCTCTAAAAATAGACCAGAGACTCCCAACCTCGTAATACACATCTAATGTTCTGTTTAAGCCCATATAATGAACAGGGAAATTGAATTACCATGTGGTGAACAAGATAATATCATACATCAACAATCTGGGAAAAAAAAAAAAAAAATCAAACAGAAAGAAAAGGTGATACTTCTCCAAAAAATGTATGCTAGATCTTTTATCTGTGTGTGTCCCGGTATTCCCTATGTTACAGTATGGGAACCAAATATCCCCACTAGTAAAGTAATACCAGTCAATTTCATCCTTGTAGGCACATTTTTTTGGTCCCCATGAGAAAAACAGCTTATAAAATCAAACAGAATGATCTAAAAATGCAGAAAGTTTTCATGCTTTAGGGTTAGGGTTAGGGTTAGGGTAAGGGGATAGAAAATACAGTTTGCACAATATAAAATCCATTATGACTATGGAGAGTGCCAATAAAACATGAAAACCAGTGTTTGTGTGTGTGTGTGTGTGTGTGTGTGTGTGAACCCCAGTGGAGAGCTAATCTCTGCTTCTGAGAGTCTCACTAATTGAGAAGTGGTACAGGTCAGAGGATCAGCAGTAGACATGGTGGCTTTATCGCTGTAAGGTGCACGCAGCTCCAGCATTAATGAGAGTGATCTCACTGCACTGCTCAGGGAGATAAACTGACACACTGTGAGCGATCGCCTATTTAGCTCGTGATATATTACAGATCTGCAGGCCTGAGAGGACAAATCACTTTCTCCTGAAGAGCTGTTTCTTACAAATTCTGGATATGCAAGTTGAAAGTTCATTTTGAAACATCTGAGAACATGTAATATAATAGCTCGATTCCAAAGCATTTCAAGATATCATAGGTGTGGTTTTAGGGAAGCAATTCCTAAAATAATAAAAATTATAATTATAAAGATTATAATTTTATTAAAAGTATATTTATTTATTTTTACATTTAAAAAATCACAGCCTGGCTAATGAACATTAATTAGGTAAAGCATTTCAAATGCATCACTGGTGTGGTCATTAGGAAGCAATCCAAGAAAGCACTGCAACAAGCTCAGCTGGGAAAATAAACAACCAAGATGATGGAATGTGTTAAGTGAAATACTGACTGTAAACAGATTTGTATTTTATTATTCTTTTAAACAAAGTATACTATATTTATAAATAATTAATATTATTTTATTAAGGTAAATTATTAATTTGATTAAGGTAGGACACTACAGGTGAAGAGGCTAAATATTTATGTTAATAGACATCACCATACTTTCCAATGTTTGTTTAAATATGCAAATGAGGCATTATCTAATTAAATATGCACTTTGTGTTTAAATGCAATTTGAACACATTTCCAGAATGGAAATCTAAACGTTTAATAAATCCAGGTTCAAAATTCTTGCTTCATTTTGTTGACAAAAGAGTTAAATATTTGATTTATTTTATTACTCCATCAATTAAAAAATAAATTCACCATTTAAAACAAAAACTGTATTTAGAGAAAATGGCCTTTAAAGATATGTATTGTAATTGCAAATAAAGTATAATTACTGTAAAGAAAAACACACATTTAAATGTGTATTTTGGATGTTTTCTTTTTTTCTAGTCTGAAAGAAGTCAAGTTATGAAAACAAAATAGCACAATATCTCAAAAATGATGTTTTTTGGAAAAAAAGATTTTAGCCTGTAGTGTCGTGCCTTAAAAGCAAATATTTACAACAATTATAATTATAATACACTTTAATAAAATTATATACTTGAATATTTAGAATTATAAAGATGATGTATTTTATGTATACTGTATACATTTTTTACAAAATTAGATTTTTGTTTGATTTATTTTATTTTTATACTGTATGTATTTTTAATTGTATATTATGTATTATTTATATTATTTTATAATTTTTATTAAATATAAGTCACAGCCTGGCTCATGAATATTAATTAGTAATGTAAAATCAGCCCAGAAGTCCTAACTGATTTTCTGAATGTGGCCTCTAACAATATTAGAATCACTGTTCACTGCTTCCACTTTCGTTGAGTCCACTGTCCACGCAACCAGTCCCATGACAGCTGACATGCAGACAGTAGGCAGTGAGGTAACTTGCTAAGAAACGGAGCTTATAGCACAATGCCTCAAATGACAATGGCACCATAATAGGCTATAAAATCTGACAAAAAAAAAAAATCAGCAACAGAGCAGGATGTTTATCTGAGGACCTGTGATAATAATTTAAAAAGATGTAACCATGTAAAATAAGGATGCTGTGGAAATTACTCACGAAGAAAGTGCTTTTCCAGTAAGGTTATCTCCAGGTGACCTTTGACCTCATTGAGTCGGTCAGCATCACTCATCTTGTAGTCCTGGATGGGAGCAGCAGACATGGTTCCTGGACCAGCCTGGAAACAAAGAGTAAGAGAAAATATGAGACGCTTAAGGTTCACAGCAATGGCAACATTAAATAGCTGTTAAGGTCAATTAAACATCAGAATGATCGTCTAATGGACATTCTCTTTAATCGAACAATACTGAATATGGCCACGTTACAGTCTAATAAATGAGAGTCCATTAGCATCTGTGGCTCCAGCCTGCCAGAGACATTAGAGCATCGTCTTCACAGAGGTTCAGCATAACCAGGATTCGACAAATCACAGCTCTAGTCACCAACCGGATGCCAGTGCGGCAGCTGTAACCATAGTGACCAGCTCACAGAGACACAACAGATCTCTTAGGTGAGCTTTCCTGTGCTTATCAAATTATGTGCAGCAAATGCAATTTCTTTGAAAATGTGCTTGGATGAGGCTGTCCTATATAAAAGCCCGTAATAACATCATTTTGTCTGAACTTGGATTCCAATCAGTTCTTTTCTTGTAAAATGTCAAGCAAAACACTAAAGGTCAGTGCTAAACACAGGGTGGCATCAGAAACAAATGACCACAGGAAAAGATAGTGCAGCTTTACAAAGATTGTTTTTAAGACTAGGGCCTGTGAAGTCTGTGGATGTGAACGACGGAGGGCAATCTCAGCTGCAACAACAGGAAGAGGTCATTTATACAGAAAGAAATACACTGGAGCAAATGGATGTTTGGGCTGAAACTCCGTTGGGAATTTGTCTGCCTCTTAATACAAGGCAAAGAACAGAAACTAAATGCAGGCTGGAAGAAAGTCAAGGGAATACATGTTTTTTTTATTGCTACTATTATTAATAATATTACTCTGAGTATCTGTTCAAAGAACTCAAAGGAATATTTGATTGAGATTCACATTTCTATATAAACCCCAGTTATAAATAAATAAATATTAGTTATGCATTTACAGTGGAAGTCTATGGGAAACTACTGCATGTTAGCCCACAGACTTCCACTGTAATTGCATAGCTATTTATTATTATTTTTTTTTTCTGAACTCCCACTGTAAGCAAATTGTCAAAAAAAAGTGAAACCTCATTCACAACCAATTTCATTTCACATGACATTTCCATCAAAACAGGAGCTACAAATGAACAAATTTAATAAATGAAATAACTTTTATTTTGACAATTTCACCAATCTGGGATTGATTGGATGGTGAAAAGTGGGTGTTACATACCAGAATATGCAGATCTGAATTAGTGATAGGAATTTACTGGCTTGGATATTTGAATCTCATTTTGCAAAATGAATTAATCTTTCTCAAAACAAAACAAAAGTAACGACTTTATTCCATATTTTCGTCTCTACAGCGTCACTTGTGGCGACAGTATCATGATGCGAGCATGTGGTGGCGCTGACCCAGATCCAGCGTAATGACATCATCATCATGATACTGTTGTGAACACGTGTCCACTAGTGACGCAGTAGAGACGAAAATAGGGAATAAAGTCGTTATTTTTGTTTTCTTTGCTCAAAAAAAGTATTCTCGTAGCTTCGTAACTTTACAGTTGAACCACTGATGTCACACGGACTACTTTGTCGATCATCTTGGTACTTTTCTGGACCTTGAACGTGGTAGTTACCTTGCTGTCTATGGGAGGGTCAGAGAGCCCCTAGATTTCATCAAAAATATCTTAAATTGTGTTCCGAAGATGAACGAAGGTCTTACGGGTTTCGAACAACACGAGGGTGAGTAATTAATGACAGAATTTTCATTTTTGGGTGAACTAACTCTTTAAGTAAATTATGATTTCTTGTTGAACTGAATGGCTTTCTATGACTGGTGTTACAAAATCTTCAAAATACAGGTTAACATCACTTTTCACAATCTTATCGCATCTCTACATTTTTCTACAGAGACAAACACCACAAGCACAGTTTTAAAAACAAAATGCATTCAGCACTTTCTGACAGATTCTCTCTTGATATTTCCCACAGATGAAAAAACGTCACTTACAGGGTCTCGCTGCTCTTCTGTTTCTTTGATGGAGCTCTGGTGTTTTACTGGGACATCTTCATTACATTCGCTGTCAGATGCGTTGGGGGACTCGGCAAGGCCTAGGAACTCATCTCGCTTCGGTCCTCTGAACCTTATCTTATCCAATCGCTTTAGCATGTTCAACACAGAGATCTGTGTCTTTATCTTAACATGGCGGGTGGCAACCCTGTAAGGACAAAAGCATGTTTTGGAACTGTGCAGCAATGAAGAAATGTTGCACGACTACATAATACATCTTGATAAATATCATTATCATTTAGACCACGTTCTGGATTTTTTATTTCTTAATTGCACACGTTGAAAAAGAAAAGTACCATAAAATGAATATTTACATACTTTATTTAGTATGCTATCTTATTGTCCAAGTGAAACCCAGCAGTGGAGTAAGACAAAGCCAGCCATTCTTGGCGAAAGAAGTCAGCTCAGGAATAATGTGCAACTGACAGTCACTCGCCTGCACAATAATAGTCTCCCTGCATCGGGTATTGAGGCCTGTGAACTGTAGAGGCAATAATGGGCCGCTTGAACTGGCTGTGAGAAATTGCTACAATCTCAAAGAGATCAGCTGATGTCGGACTAGTGTGGCGCAGGACCCTGTTCTGTACAGTATGTGGGTCAGAGGTAGAGGCCCCATGATCCTCACGTTCATAGCGTGACCCCTGTTGTACACAGCTGATTGTGACGGTTTGATGCATGAGGAAAACCAGACATTGATTTCAAACTTCTCCGGTCTAAAAGTGATTGTTACTCACCTCCATGTCGTTCCAAATCTGTATGACTTCCAATTTTTGAAATAATCATTTAGGCTGCTTTTGTGAACTGGATTAACTGATTCTTTGAAAAGATTTGACTTGAAAAAAAAAATCTGTAAATATTGTACATACAGGTTGATATTGGATATTTAATTGTATATTTTTACGATTTTTATTTTGAAAGTACCTTTGCTGTCATCCAACACTCACTGTACATTGTGATGCCTAAATTCACTCGTAGCATTTATAATGATTCATGTAATTTGAACATTTTAGGCGTTTTATTTTTAATTTATTTAGGCAAAATGGTGTCAAAGTTTCAAATCAACCATTTATCCGTTTTCAAAGTAGTTAAAAGTATTATTTTCATAAATATTTATCTTTAAATTTATATTTATCAGTTTTAGTTTTAGTATTTTTAATACTTTAAAGTAACTTATGAAAACATTTCTGATTTTAGTTGTTTAGTTTTTTTTTCAAGTTTTTAATCTAATATTTATATTTTATTTAATTTTATTTCAGCTTTATTTGGATTAATTTAAACATTTCATATAATAAACTTGTTAGTAGTTTTAGTTAAAAATAACACACAAAGCTACCATATGGCTTTAGAAGAAAGCACAAGTTTGAGGAACCTCATTTAAAATACTTTTATGGTGCTTTTGTATCATTTTGCAGCATTAATGTTAACTATTTGGAAATAAGAAGCTAGTACATTCTTCAAACTGTTTCCTTTTGTGTTCCTCAAAGAAATTCAGTCATACAGGTTAAGAATGACAGGAGGGAGAGTAAATAATGACAGAATTTAAATTTTGAGGTGTCTGTCCTTTTAATCCTAATATACTGTATGTGCTGATTGCTATGATAACAAATGGAAACAGCACATTCGGCTGTTAAACTCATGGAAAGACGCAGGTCATGAACTATTGTGCTCTTCCTCGGGCAACGTCTCTAAAATGTCTTTGTGCATCTAAAAAAATTCCCTGAGAATGCTGAGACTGAAGCACTAACACAGTTTTGCAACATGTGACTGGATTATATATCCAAAAAAACTCTCCAGGACCCAAAGGCCCACGGTGTTGTACAAAATAATGCTATTGGTGTTCCAAACTCTGCATTCCCTGTAGTTAGTTGACCTTACAGCAAACAAAGCAGGCCTGGGAACAAAGCGGCCGTATGCGTGCCTAGACACTCAAAACCTCCAGCCGAGTTCTAATTTCACTTCCAGAGCTCAGACAACATGCTGTACATGATAATGACAGGACTGAGGTTTAACGGCAGCCGTCTTGTTCTTAAGCAGCCTGAGTTTGGCATCCTGTGAATTAGAAAGGGACTTCTTTTGACAATAAGCAGACGTTTCATGCAGCTCACACAAGGGAAAGGGAAATAGCTCGAGCGGATGATATTTATCACCCATGTCTAGATTTGACAGATTTACAATGTTTTAACTCATTAGATCGCGTCGTTTTATGAGAAGTTATGACAGTGTGTTAAACATCAAAACTAATCATGTCCTTTTCATACAAAAGTTTTGCTTGGGAAAAAGTACTACAGTAAATCAGGCCTACAGTACAATAAAAAAATCATTTCCCCTCTTATGTTCCATAGTGTCTTATGTTCCATAGTGTAAAAAGTGTTTCTTTAAAAGGAACAGTTTGCCCAAAAATGACATGATCTTAAGGGAACAGGGTTTGCATGCAGTATGCACACTTTTTAGAAGACTTGGAACATAGCATTCATGTCTTATGGACTATTTTATGGTCAAATTAAAAATAAATAAATACTAATATATATATATATATATATATATATATATATAAAATAAAATGATCTAGGATAAAGGATCCCCACTGAAGGCCAAATACACAGAATTGGGAGAATGTTTTGAGACACAAGTGGTTGAGCAAGTTTGATTTGTTCAGGGTGGAGCATGAGTTTAAATTTCCCACTCCTCACTAGTCTGCACAGCTTTTGGGTGGAGCTCTACCAACAATCAACCTACAAGTTTAGGTGGAGGAAAAATTCCTAGCATCTGTTTGAAGGGATAGTTCATCCAAAAATGTACATTCCATCATAATTTACTCAGACGTCATTTCAAACCTGTAAGACTTACTTTTGTGGAACATTAATATTTTGTGAAATGTCTCAAGTGTTTTTGTCCATGACATAGAAGACTTAGGGCACCAAAACTATTTAGTAACCAACATTTTTTTTTTAATTCATTTTTGTTTTCTGCAGAAGAATTAATTATTAATTTTGTGGTGAAATATCCTTTTAACCAACAAGTGGAACAACCGCGATTGGCTCTAAAAGCATTCTGTAATCACTCCACTCAAGATCCACTCCATGTTTTATATCTCACACTCCTTCATACTACTGAGAGAAACCCACTCAGAGCAAGAGAGAGATAATATTAAGGTTCTAAATTTAAAAATTTTAGGACTGGAATGATGTACAGGTTTTTAGTCTGTGTCCATCACATAATCATCCAACCGACAACCCAGCTAATAAAAATGTGTTCTAAGAACACCTTGCTAATGTTCCTTTTAAGTTATGAAAAACATTTTTGTCTGAATTCTGGGAATGCCACTTAAACTAATAAGTGGTAACGTATAAAAAATGTTAAGCCCTGTCGGTGCGGATAGCCCAGGGGTAGGCAAGATCGGTCCTAGAGAGCAGCAGTCCTGCAGAGTTCAGCTCCAACCCTGAAAAAAAAAAAACTCACCTGCCTATAGCCTTAGTAATGCTGAAGACACTGATTAGCTTGTTCAGGTGTTTTTGATTAGGGTTGGAGCTGAACTCTGCAGGACTGCGGCTCTCTAGGACCGAACTTGCCTACCCCTGGGATAGCCTCATGGTTAGTGCGCCGATATGTAACGCAACTGCACTTGCAGTGACCCGGGTTCGATTACAGTATCGTGGTCCTTCAACGATCTTGTTCCCCTCTCTTGGCCCAGTGTTTTCCTGTCTCCTCTCTACTGTCCTATCACATTAAAGGCATTAAAAAGCTCATAAATGTAACTTTTAAAAAGTTTTGGTTTTTACACGACTGCTATGGTCACGACTGCTATGGTCAAGCATACAGTGTGCATGATGCAAATGTCATCATCAGCATAGTACATGCGTACTGTAAGAGCGCATTATTTTAGCTGCGCATACATTATACACTTAGCTTGGACATGCGCCTTGAATTTTGTAACTAATTAGTTTGTCCATAAGGTGGCATCATTGCCCATTGTTTCACAATGGAAAAAGAAATCGATGAGACAGAACAACAACAAACTACTGGAGATGTTAAAGGGGTCATATGATGCGATTTCAATTGTTCCTTTCTCTTTGGAGTGTTACAAGCTCTTGGTGCATAAAGAAGATCTGTAAAGTTGCAAAGACTAAAGTCTCAAATCCAAAGAGATATTCTTTATAAAAGCTAAGAGTCAGCCACACCTACCTAAAACGGCTCGTTCTAACACGCCCCCACATATCTACCTCACTATGTGGGAAGATTTGCATAACGCCGCCCAAATGTTCACGCAAAGAAAGAAGGTATAAGTCATTATAATCAGTAATTATGTCCCCACAATCACAACGCATTGGATAGCTGGCCAATCACAGCACACTGGATAGCTGGCCAATCACAGCACACCTCGCTTTTTCAGACCGATGAGCTTTGTAAAAATCGACGCATTTCAGAAAGGCGGGGCATAGAGGAGAAACAATAATGTACAGTATGTGGAAAATAATGTGTTTTTTGAACTTTAAACTGCATAAACACATTTCATTACACCAAATACACAAAATAAATGTTCTTTTTAGCAGCAACATATGACCCCTTTAACAAAAACAGATGGCTCCGCTGATGAGCACTTGTGACAAGTTAAGATACTCTAGTTTAAATAAGTACAAAGATATTTTTATAGATGACTTCTGGAGAGAGATACTGCAGACACTGAACAAGGACTAAACTTTCTAGTGTGCACATGTTGAGCGCTAGGGCTCACGTCCATCAAATGAAGTAGCTATAGGTTCTCACTTTATATATTTATTATACACAAGTCCACACTTTCGTTACATAACGCCACCTCGTTAAGTAGAAATCTTTAGTGGAGTCGCCTCATAGTGGGCTCGGCAGAAGAGCGCATCTAAGTCGCATAGCGGCCACGCAGGGGGCGCTCGCGAGCATTCTTCTGAAAGCTAATTTTCTGCGGTTCGCTCTGTCTTGGCCCTGTCCCAAATGGCACACTTCATGTGGACTTTCGGTCTTGCGGACTTACAATGGCCGCCGCGTGCGCGTGTCCGTTAAGTCCACCAGACCGTAGAGTGTCCCATTTGTCATTTTAGCGTTCAGAAGGGTGCTCGCGAGCGCCCCCTTTGCGGCCGTTATGCGCCCTCGATCCGCACTTCTGCCGGCTTCTTCTACCCGACAGTCAAAGCAGCATTACGTCACGAAAGTGCGGACTCCGAGGAAGACGCGAGGGTTTAGGGTGCCATTTGGGACAGGGCCCTTGTGCGCAGCAACGTTCGCACAGCTTTCAAAGTATACTCAACCGCGGATGGATAAGTTTGACCCGTGCGCAGTACCACCTAGTGGACTCTTCTATCTCAGCAACATTCACCTTGCTCCAACTGTTGCGTGCATGGACCACCTTGGACCATCCTGCTGACGAAATTTACATCATGCAGACATTGTGTGGAGTATACATTACAAATGCACAGGACGTGTGCCATTTAGGACAGGGCCATAGAAAGACTGTGTTCGGCTACATTAATAACACCCATTACAATTACATCATAGGTATGACAACTTTGAGGCCACTGAGCGACTCCCCTTTCACTCTCCCCGACTCTGACAATGAGTTTAGCGGTCAGGCTGCTCTTCTGTGCTCCCTTCGACCACATCCTCCGACACCGGCATTGTGTTAGACATCTCCATTCCCCCACTCTCTCTAAACCCCATCATCCGCCCCATTGTCATACTCTGCAGCCTATTATCTGACAGCAATGTTTTGCGCGTTTATACATTTTTTTTTCTCGTGTACTGCACTCTCAACAAGCGTCTTATTAGCACGTTTTATTTCCAAGCATTCTGCTCCAGGGTTTTGCATCATCATCACCTCACCGTGTAGTTCAAGTTGGATCTCATCAATAAAACATCGAGGGTTGACACAGTTGCACCATCAATATATTGCCGAGTAATGCCTTGACCTAAAAGCCTTTCATCACTACAAAACATCTTCTAGATCGATGCCGTGGAGAATGGCGGCTTTCGTGCGCGTGCAAAATATTGGAAATCGTTTCTTACCTCGTCTTGAGGCTAAGGGATGGTTGTCACATTAAGCCACAAAATATATTAGCCTAAATAAAACCGTGAAATAAACATGTGTACAGAAAACCTGCTGCAGCTGTGCGAAACTACAAACAATGTGGCACATTCGCGCTGTAAATGAGTTTGAGGATTCGGATTCGAACGCAACAATGTAACAAAAGCTTCTTCAGTCTGACACATTGTAACATGCACCCCGCCCGCCGCGGGATTAACACCCAGAAAGGGGAAGAAAGTTTTCTTACCCACCTTGCACGGAATTCGTAATTAAGTTTCATTAACAGGAAGGCATGAATATTCGAGCTTCGCCCCGCTCCGTCGCCACCTGCTACCAGCTCGATGATGAGAAACCCGGCGTAAAATGCCCAAGCGGACACATACTGATCTACCGATGCGATTCCCTGCGCTGTCAGATGTTATTTCCAGCGTTATTAAGGATTAGAATCGCATGCAAACGGCAAACCATCATTTGGGGTTCGTTTCAATCTGTTGTTGATATCCAGCGAGACTCACTTCACACCAGGAAATTTCGTCAATGACAGCGACAGACGCTCTTAAAGGGGCCGATAATTGACAGTCGTCTCTTATCAAATAGAAACGCTCTCAAATCTTCCTTCTTCGTGAATGAAGTCAAATGTGCTCAAATTAGTGTATGTATTTGGAATATTAAACAACAATAGAGGGCCTGTTGTGTTTTAACAAGCGAGGCGGACATTAATCCCATAACTCTGTCAAATCCATGCTTAAAATTTATGCGTCATATACGCACGCGAGGTTGAAAACAAACGCGAAGGTGTATGATTTATCTTTAATTCTTTTGAAGTGGACTTGTTTGGACGTGAACATACGCCTTTAGGTCTAGACGGCTATGTGACAGGTCTGGTTTGACTCGTTTTGGGGTGTTTGCACTGCAGTTAGCCTCGACCATTGGATGATTGTGTGTCCACCAGGTGGCGCGCAATGACAGATCATTGTTTTTACTTTTAATCAACTGAACTGTCAGAGATAACATTCTGTTAATCACACATTATATTTTCTATCTAAATTTTAACATTTTATATTTGACTTGTTTATTCTACACTTCATTACACAATACTAGCAAAACACTTCCAAATACTATAATGGGAATTACCATGGTTCCATTGGTAAAGCCATGTTATTTTAACACTTCATCATAATCACCATAAAGTTTTTATCACATAAATGATCATGTAAATACTATGGTATTTGAGTCTGGTAATCATTCAGTACCATGGTAGATGGGGGAGCATGTTTAATAATTATTTTTTAAATAATTCATGAATTTTAAAAATTTTGTTCACTTAAATTGACTAACTCACTATTAAAAAGTTTGGGGTTGGTAAGATTTTTTATTTATTTTCTTTTTTTTAAATGTTTTTGTCACTTTGCTTACCAAGGCTGCATTTATTTGGTTCAATACAATTTTTTAAAACTCTATTCTATTTTAATATATTTTAAGATGTAATTTATTTCTATGATGCAAATCTGAATTTTCAGCTGTCATGACTCCAGTCTTCATTGTCACATGATCCTTCAGAAATCATTCTAATATGCTGATTTGCTGTGCAAGAAACATTTTTCATTATCATCAATGTTAAAAACCATTGTGTTTCCTAATATTTTTGAGGAAACTGATTTATTTTTATTTATTTATTTATTTTTATTGATGAACTGAAAATAAATCTCATAAATGTCTTTACTGTCACATATGTGTCCTTGTTGAATAAAAGTATACATTTTTTTAATATTCACATATCTCAAACTTTTGAACAGTAGTGTATGTTGAAGGAATTTCATTATAGCAAAATAATTAGAAATATTAGTCATTTTAGTGAGGGGGAAAAAAGATACAAGATCATACAGATTTTTAATTAAATCTTTTAAATTCATTTATTTACAATGTTCAAATGTTTTATCAGTGCGAATAGTAAGAATATAAATACCTTATTTTACATGCTGGTATCTAATATCTACGAGCTTTGACAAGTAATGGAGGTATTTCATGGATACACATTTAATATATTTCATGTGATAATGTGTGTTCACTTAAAGGGTTAGTTCACCCAAAAATGAAAATTCTGTCATTAATTACTCATCCGCGTGTTGTTCCAAACCCGTAAGACAACGTATATGGTACTTTACGACAGTACCATATACGCGAGCATGTGGTGGTGCTGACCCAGATCCGTGAACGTGTCCACAACTGAAGCAGTAGAGACGAAAATGTGGAATAAAGTCGTTATTTTTGTTTTCTTTGTGCAAAAAAGTATTCATAACCCTTTAAGGACTACCGATCAATAAATGCTTCTAAACTATTACAGATTACATAGTTACTGACCTGACATCACTTTCACATAGACTGACCTTTAACATGAGTAAAGAATGGCTCCCTGAATGTCTCAGTCTATACTATTTACACAAGAGGTTTGGCAGAGCTATAAAATAGTCGACAGGCACTTTAGGAATCTTTTGATTCTTTGTTGGTAATTTAGATGCAGAGCAAACAAAACACTGCTTTTCTATGTACAGCACTGGCAGGGACTTTAAGGCATGCTGAACATAAGCTGTAAAATACTGTAAGAGGTAATCACTGTAAAACACACCTGACCATTGAACCCAATGACAGACAGTGTGTATGATGGTCATCTTCATCCTAATAATTCATCTGAAACATAACTGGGGGAAAGAAAATTCAGACATTTGGGGCAAAAAATAAAACGACGTATTAAGCTACATCTGCTTAAAAATGCACAGTATAAAAAAACACAATATAAACATTCAAAACAGTGCTGTAAAAAATACCACAGTAAACATAAATATTCAATATTGGCATCACAGTGAAATCCTAATTTACAATTTTACAGATAACCCTATTACACATCTAAAATACAAAATGTCACTATAAACATTACTTACACATCATAAGTTATCTGTTTATGACTGATGAATTCTGGAATAAACTGTACAAATGCTAAATAATATCAAAGTCTTTTGCTGTAACTCCAGATCAGCTTTATCCTTTTCGATGTCAGAAAACTTTTCTGCTCAACTTGGACAATGTAGCACTTTGGAATGCTGGGATAGCTAGCGCCCGGCTTCCTTTTGTATTAAATGAACCTTTATAAATACTAAAAACTATTTCAGAGCAGGACAATGTTGTGCTTTAATAATAGTGGGGACACAGAAACTGGTTCAAACCCGCTCCAGTTCATTCAGCATCCTTCAAGTTGAAGACTCAGATTGATGTTTCATTGCTGCCACTAACAAGAGAAAGAAAGAGAGGTGTTACAATCAGAAAGTGACCAAATAAATCCTAATGATCAGCATATGACCTCCAACTCACTCCGAATCAAAGTCTTTGTCTGCCAGGGTCACGGGGCTCGTGCCCAGCTCTACGGTCATCCCGTTCAGTGCAGACTGAGGTGGTAATGGAGGTGGTTTGATGATGATGCTGTTGGCCTCGGTTCCTGAGCGAACCCCCTCGTTTGACCCCACCGATGGAGTCTTTCGGGGGATCTGGGGTGGGTTGTAGTCACTAAGCTTCTCCCTCAAGCGGTTCTTCATGTTCTTGTCCGTCAGTGGGGGTGGATATGTCATCTTGTTCTTTAAAATGCCTAATAAAAGGGAAATGATAGTATAATAGAATATTTGAATAGAATATATATATATACAATTATATTATTTAAAATATATAATATATTCTAATTAAAGAAATAGTTTATTTTTGTAATAAAATTCATGAATAGGCACAAATCAATTTTATTTTTTTATTATAATTTTTTTAATATTGGTCATCTTGTTCTTTCAAATACCTAATAAAGATACTAATATAATACAATATAATATAATACAGAATATATATATAAATATATACATTTTATTATACTATTATTAATTACTAACATATATAAAATATGCATGCAGGAAGAAAATGGATTTTTCAAGTACTAAAATGGTTTCATTCACTTGTTTCTTAATTGTTTTTCCCTCTAGTTTTTGTTTTTAAGTAGTAATTTTTATTTCGTTTAAGTAGTTGTCGCTCACCTCTTCTGGGTAACTGGTTGCTGTTTGGCTGACTGGGTGAACTCTCACTTTGAGACACATCTCCATTGTGATTTAATTTATTCCCTTGATGAAGCTCCACATTCACTTTCGTTTCCACCCGCAGTTTCTCTGGACCACCTGGCTCCTCACTGGCTGTGGGCGGCTCCTGCGGCCAGTATGGCTTCCCTTGACCGGACACAGCATCAACTGCAGAACAACATGAGTAAAGTTATCAAAAATCCAAGTTTAAATAAAAATAAAATGAATAAAACACGTAAAAGAGCAGGTCAGAGTTCACAGAAGAGGCTGCAGGCACCTTTCGGAGTGCTATGGATGGGCGTTCTCTCGTTATTCCATTTGGTCCTGGAGTGCCTGGCCTCGTCCTCGCTGTCCGAGGAGTGGGAGGAAGCGTAGGAGCTGCTGTGTTCATCCACTGAGAGCTCACTGTCCGAATCCGAGTCTGAAAATAACAGAAAATGATTATTCAGAAGTTATGACACCAGCTGAGTCTTCAATGGTCTTAAAAATAGTTGCATAATGCTCCTAAGGGTTATTTCTGTCCTCACCTTCTGCCTTTTTACTCTTGTGGAAGAAGAGCGACGAGTCTCCTTCGTCATGCCCCACATTTCCACCATTAGACGATATGCTGCGTTTCTTCTCCCTGAGTGAAAACAACATCAAATCTATACATTATTACATAATCATCATTACATTAAGTGGAGTCACACTGAAGTTATTCAGTGACAGTAAGTTGCATGTGAAATGTTCACAAATGCAGCTGCCAATATAGCAATATTACATATATGACAACCAGAATTTCTTCTCTGATTAGTTAATAACTTTTTCTCTGTAAATGGCATATGCTTTACCGCTACGCTTTGCAGTTAGAAGTGTGTCTGAGAGATCAAACATGTGAAGCAATACACATTGGATTCAATATAAGATCCATTTAACAGATGACACTGTGCTGTGAATTACAATACTGTAGGGCTCTGTCAGTGGTTATGGTAAAAAATATAAGTCATAAATATGGCTAAAGTGCACCCATTGATAGTCATAATGAACTTAGTCTCAAGTAAAGATATTCAGTGGAGTGACCTAAAAACCGAATGCCCCTTTGAGATGTTTACGCACAATATAACAGCTAATAATTGGTGCAAATAGGTTAGTGCAAATACTGCCTAACCTAATAGTTCATAATTCCAGATATATTTAGACCATTAATATATGAGAGAAAAATCAAGGTCTGGGGAAGTTCAAATGATACACGATTCTCATTTTAAGAGGTTAACGAGGAGGTATGGAGATATTTTACATTAGCATTTCAAATTAAACATTGTTTTATTACACGGATGTTTAAGAAATACTTGATTCTGATTGGTCAGTTGTAGGATTCAATATAAAATAACTCAAATCGTAATTCACTCCTGGTGCATTACCTGAGTGTGGAAACAAGGTAGCTGCTGCCGTGACTCTTGCCTGATCTAACAGAGGTCTGTAGAGAAACAGTGGACTCTCCAATGGTGGTCCGGTACAGACCTCCATCCTCCGTGTAGACGTCACCATTCAGAGAACGCTGGGATGACAGATGAAGAGACTCACTGTTAGTGATTAGTCAGTAAATACATTGGGCCTATACATCAATTTTTAATTAACTTATTTATTTTGTTAACTGAAAATGTGTCAGACTCACTGTGAGTAAGGTAGCCCGTGTTGTACTGGGATCTTCAGCTGGTACTTTCTTCCCTGTAAAGGTACTTTTAAGGTTCCTCCTCACGTCTTTGTTGAGAATACAGTGGAAAAAGAAGATGCAAATGCCCTGAAATTAAAAAAATACACATCATTACTGAATAATTAAATACATACACATTTGTCATAATACACAAGCAAAATCAATCCCAAAAGCAATCCAATCCCATATGGTTTATATAAAACACATTAAGTAATTCCCATTGCATTGTGTTTAATTATCCATGTTTATATTTTGATTAATATTTTTACCTCATCTTTTTTAAAATTTTAACTTTCATTTCACATATTTTTACTTCACTAGGCCTATTCTCTTTCTTTTGTTTGCTTATTAGCAACAACAACAATAATAATAATTATTATTATTTTTATTACTATATATGCTGACAATTGTGTTGATACAGCATTGTTGACTCTTACTTAATTTTACATTTTTACATTTTTGTTATTTTTTTTACAATGATATTGTTTTATTTTTAATAAAAACAACACAGAAAATAAAGAGATAAAACGAAAGATAAAATAAGATGGGGTAAAAAAATAAGAAAAATATAAAAATGTAAAATGAAATACAATCAAGTAATTTACCTACACTTTACTCACACAATTGCAAATTGCATACATTGTCAACATATGCATGTGTGTTATTGTTGCTAATAAAATAAACAATACAGAAAGAAAATAGTGAAGTAAATAAAGAGATATGTTAAATGAAAGGTAAAATAAAAAGTAAAAATTATATATATATAATGTATTTACTTACATTTTAAATATAAGTAATTTTAGAAATATAAGCAAGCCATCTAAAATTTCTGTTCTGACAAACAGTGAACATTATTTACACAGCACATGACCATACTGTATGTACCTGCAAGCAGCTGAGGATGGCAAAGAGGTAGTGGAAGGACAACACATCACTGTTGACTGCCATTAGACCCAGCAGCCAGGTGGCGCTGATGAGCAACAGGAGGAGGAAGGCCACTCGAAGAGCAGAGCTGCACAAGAGCAAATGAGAACGATGAAAAAGATTAGCTTTTACCTGCTTATTATTGTTCAGTTTGACCTTTAAGCTTTCTCACTGAACTTACATTGCTCCTGACTTTTCCATTCGCTGGCGCCGTCCACACGAGGCTTTGGCTGCCAGCACAATTAGGACTGTATTTATCTGTTAAACAAAGAGGTTTATTTTCCATTATTTACTCAAAACCAAATACATCAGTTGGGAGATGGAAAGGAATGCAGTGCTTCCACTGTGTTAAATAAGATTAAAATACACAAACTGACCAGCACTACTATGGAGATTGGTCCTGTGATGCTCCAGATAAGAGTGTCATAAACAGAGAGCCAACAGAAGTCAGGGTTTCCATAACCCTGAGGATCCAAACCCACAGCCAGACCTGAGAAGAGACAATCAATCAGCAACAATGCACGATCAAGATTTATAGGGGGTTTGGGTGGTTTTTAATTGTGTGTGTGTGTGCGTGTATATATATATATATATATATAGAGAGAGAGAGAGAAATGCTAAAATGTATTTTCACTGATGAGTATGCTAGTAGATTTTCAAACAAGCTCATTTTTCAGTGAATTTTGATTAAATATTTTGAAAAAATTTAATTAATTCAGTCAGTAATTTACTGTACTTTACCATTCAAAAGTTGGAGTTGCTAGGATGTTTTTATGTTTTAGAAAGAAGTATCTTATGTTCACCAAGGCTACATTTATTTGACAGTAAAACAGCAATTTAATTACAATTTAATATAACTCTATAAATTTAAAATTAAATATAAATCTTTTCTATTAATATATTCTAAAATGTAATTTATTTCTGATGCAAAGCTGAATTTTCAGCATCATTACTCCAGTCTTCAGTGTCACATGATCCTTCAGAAATCATTCTAATATGCTGATTTTCTGCACATTTTTGTGAAAAATCATTTTTTTCAGGATCCTTCGATGAATGCAAAGTTCAAAAGTTCAGCATTTTAAATAAAAATCTTTCGTAACATTATAAAAGTCTTTACTGTCACTTTTGAGTAATTTAATGCACCGCTGCTGAATAAAAAGTATTAATTTCTTAAATTAATCTTACCGACCCCAAACTTTTGAATGGTAGTGTATAACACACAGTATACCTACATATTAGTGCTGTCAAATCGATTAATCATGATTAATCGCATCCAAAATAAACATTTATGTTTACATAATATATGTTTGTGTACTGTGCATATTATATGCATATATAAATACACACACATGCACAATATATTTAAGAAATATTTACATATATAAATAAATATAAATTACATATGAAGAGCTCATTTGCAAAAACAGATAACTCCGTTTTTTTATTTTCAAAAATCATGTTTTTATTATGTTATCATGTTTTTATTGTGTTTTATTGAGTTAGTTAGCTGTATATTTTAGTTATTTTTTAACCTAATCAAAATAACCCAACTGCAGTTTGAGATTAATTGAAAAAACATGACTTTTGAAAATTGCTAAAGAGTTATCTGTTTTTGCAAATGAACCCTTCATATATTTCTTCAATATACAGTATACATGTATATATTGTATATGCATATAAATACACACACACACACACACACACACACACACACACACAATATATTATGTAAACACAAACTTTTATTTTGGATGCGATTAATTGTGATTAATCTATTTGACAGGACTACAACACATATAATGTATACAAAACATGTTAACTATTTATTTGACAAATAACAGCTTAAAAATATAGCCAGGCAAACGTGTCCTCTAGATCATACAGTACCAGTGATAATAGCAGGAATCCCCCAGCCGATGGCGTAGTAGAAGCGCATGTGGCCCTGGTTGATGTTACGCATCTCGGTCAGCATGCGATAGATGTGCAGCCCCTCCACAAACATCCAGGCAAATGCGCACATGCACGAATAATGTAGCAGAATGGCCACAACAGTACATACAAACTACAAATCAGATAAGAAACAGAAAGGTTTAGTATCACATAGAATCGTCTAAGATAAATAAAATAAAACAATGTGGTTGTTATTATAATCTAAATACTCTCCAGACTGCTCACCGGACTGTCAGTCTGATTGATGCCAGTGAGGAAGATGAGCTCAGAGAGAAAGATGGCGGCCACCAGGTTCTTGTGGATGCTGTGTAGGTTGGAGCGCAGCTTGCGAAGAATGGCCAGCAGGAGGAAGGTGATGAGGAGGGCCACCAGAGAGGCGGACACTGTCGTATAGGTCACCACTTTCAGAGGAAGAACATCACCATGCTATGGACAAGATGGCAGAGTTCAAAAACTAGTTAGATGGCTGTATACTAGCAAAAAAAACATTAACCAAAATAGCTGGCAGTGCCTTACCTCTCGTTTGGAGATGTCCATGAGGACAGCAAAGCTGGTCATGTGGTTGCACTGGCAGCTGATATGAGTCGAGTTTCTGAAGACCAGCTCACAGCCTTTAGAAGACCAGGCGCCTCCACCAGAAACCCTATCAAACAAGAGCAGGAACGACACAAATAATATATATATATAAATAAATATATATATATATATATATATATATATATATGTATAAAATAAATGATTACCCTATAATAACAGCACAAGCAGAGATTGGTTTATTCTTGCCAAATCAGAAAAATAAATATAATCTGTTCATTCATTAAGGACTCACAGGATGGAGTGGTTCCAGTAGACGCACACAGGTTTGGTCCTCTCGTGGGTCTCCAGGAGCCTGAAGTTCAGGGTGATGGGTCTCTGGAGTGGGGTGGGGAGAGGCTCTCCGTCCCTGTGGACCACCACGCTCACTACAGGAGTGTTGATGACAGGACGAGTGGGCAGTCTGGGAATGTGTAGAGCACCAGATATGAAAAAAGCACCAGAATGAAAAAAGACATTGTCATATCGGTACCATATTGGTTATCTGCCAGTATTAGAGATCTTTTTTTATTTATCTGTATTGGCTGATATTTACAGAAGAAGAATGGGGGAAAAAGTGCTTTGGTAAATCATAATTATGACATAAAAATCTATATTATTAGATGCTAAATCATAATTACGAGATAAAATGTTGACATTATAACATAAAAAGTCATAATATAACAAAATATTGTCATAATTTTGACTTTAGTATGACATTTTGACTTTTTATGCCATAATTTATCATTTTGAATTTTTATCTCATAATTTCAAATTATCTCATGATTATGACTAAAGTCAGAATTTTGACTTTTTATTTCATAATTATGACTTGGTACCTCATAATTTTTCCTCAATAAATTTGTCATAATTTCATCTTTTTATCTCATAATCGTGACAGTTTGTCAGTTTTGACTTTCTGTCACATAATTATGACTATGTCATACTTATGACTTCATATCTCATAATTTTGACTTCTATATCTAATTATGATTTACCAAAGTTTCTTTCTTATGTGGCGAAAATGGGCTTCCATAGATATTAGATACTAAATATTTTTATATTTAGATTACCTTTGCTGTCATCTAACACTCAAAGTAAATCTTTAAAGCATCTTTAGCAAATCTCAAAATAAATATAAATTTTTGATACTGTACATTCTAATGTCATTGTTTCACTTTTAGCATTTAAATTGATTGATTTTAGTATTTAGTGGTTTAATTTAATCTATTTAGACAAAATGGTATAGAATTTTAATATCGACTATTTACCAGAATGAAAATAATTACTGTATCATCTTGTCATATTGACTGGAATTTTAATATCGGTGCATCCCTAATTATTTAATATTACTCATATTAATTGATATTGTTTTTTATTATTATTGCATCTCATGAATAAGGAAATCTGTTGTTGGCTGAAGTGCTACCTAAGACTGCGACGGTCCGGATCATAACTCTCTGGAAGGAGTCCACCCAGAGACCTGTAGATCATCACCATCACAACAGCAGGTGGATCGGGCTGTTCTGCATGGCGTCTTTTCTTAATGGATGGTGTTAAATCAACAGTATCTGATCCGTCCACACTGATGAAAGACTCAGTTGGTTCAATCTCGGCTGGAGGCTCTGTGGTAAAAGCATCTATAGTGTATAAGACATAATAAAGGTTAGAAATACATTTTATCATTGCACATTTCCATGAATATTATTGGTAATATAAAGAAACAAGTTTCAAAGGGACAACCTTTACTCTTTTTCGGCAGGTTTGGGAACAGGACAGATGACTCCAGCTCTTTTGAGTACACCTCATTATCTTCCTGAAATCGAGGAATCTTGTCTTGGTTTGCAGTGGAGTCCAGAAAATCTAATGCCACAACTGGTTGTAAAGAAAAATGATACATATTTTTAAATCAAACACTCTAAATTGAGCAGAGCAGATGCTACAGGATGGAGAACCCAATACTAACTCATGTTGTCAGTGACGATGGTGAAGGGTCTCAAGTAGGTCTTCCTCATGTTCTGTACCAGAGTGTTGGCATACTCCTCAAAGTGGTGCAGCAGATGCGCCGTCCCGCCATCAGAGCACTGAATCTTCTCCCAGTGCTCCTTGTTGACAGGGTCAAGGATGGCACTTCCAGCTTTAATGATGTTCTACCACAACAAAGAAGAGTAATGTTTATTCATACTGGACTATAACCATCCACTGTGGTTTCAAAATAAAATGAATGTAAATTAATGAATTTATAAAATAATTAATAAAATAAAATATGAAAAATTAATACATTATTTAAAGAATTTTTAAAACATTTGTATCATTTTTTTTAAAAAATATAATACAATTAATAAAATAAATTTAATAGACATATGTATACGTCTGAGAGTAAAACAAGATTTTTAAATTGCATACACTTGATATATTTAATCTGATGGTTTACATGCTTTCAAACTGGTTAAAGGTGGTCATTTATGTTCATTAGTTGGTTCAACCTGGTTTAGATGGTTGAACACATAGATTACCAACTGGTAAGGTCCGTGTCAACCAGGTAGACTATCTTGGTTAAGAGAGTTGGAGCTGGTAGGTCATTTTGAACCAAACAGCAATTTGACCAATTTACGCAATTAAGATTTGGGTTCCAAAATGTTTCCACCTTCAATCAACCAACAAAGTTGTCCTAAATGTCTTTCTTTAGCTTTGAGAAGCTGAGGGAGGTTCAGTTGAAGAGCTCAGGTGGAAGCCAACATTTATCTTCAATGCAAGGACAGGCAGTTGGATAGATTTACATGCCTTCTAACTGGTTGAAGCTGGTCAACTATGGTCACTAGTTGGACCATCTTGGTTAAGAGAGCTAGAGCTGGCAGGTCATCTTGGACCCATCAGATTAAACTTGAATGTGAAGATACTAAAATCCTGTTTGATTCTGGAAGTGTGTGTGAAGGCTTTGAGGTCTATACCTTGTTGAAATCGGCATCATGAGTGGCGGTGAGCTCAAAGCCCTGCTGCAGACTCTCATGCTCTAACACACTGGCCAGAAGATGGTAGGCAGTCCTCACGTCATTCCCAAAGAGGCGATCTGTGTGGTCAGTGGCAGAGTGCAGCAGGCCTGCAAGGCTTTTTGATCTTTCTCCATCCATTCGAGAAGCATTAGCATGAAGATCCTCACTCTAAGTCACACATTAAGGAGGAAACATTGGTCACTTCTAGGATTGTGTAAGACGGAGTAGAATATTTAATAGTGTAGTGTACAATTTCTTCCTTGACTATAATTTGGAAGTTGAATCAACTTGAATCAACCAGCAAAAGAGTGACAAACCTCTTTCTTTAGCTTTGAAAAGCTGAGGGAAGTGCAGTTGAAGAGCTCAGGTGGAAACCAACCTTTATCATCGCTGCAATGACGGATAGCTGTGCCTGTCAAACAACAAATGAGGATATATATTGATAAACCATTCAACAATAATGTAATAAAAAGATGAAAATTCCTACATACACTACCAGTCAAAAAATTGGACACATCTACTTTGTTATTGTTAGTCATTTTAATTTTTTAATTACAGTAAAATTTAGAAAATAGAAAATAAAATGTATGTAGTTTATTTTATGTAGTTTATTTGTGTGTGTGTGTGTGTGTGTGTGTGTATATATATATATATAAAAGCAGTCTGCTCATGACTGGAGTGTATTACACTTACATTTCATCATACTGCGCTTGCAAATATATTTTTTATATATATTATATATTATTATTTATTCAATTGTCCAAGATATTGTCAAGCATTCTGTGAGCAGTTTTGAAATGAGGTTAACAACATTTAACTAATATCCTGGCCAGTTGACATCACACATACCCACACATCCCCCGACTGTCACCTCTGCGAAGGGGTTGTCACAACGGTTGCACTGACGACCCACCACACCCATCTTACAGGGGCACTGGCCCGTTACAGGGTCACATGTCCGGGAATGCGCTCCAAGGTGAAAACAATCACACGGGTAACAAGTGTCTGCACCAAGAGGCCGAAAGTAATTGTCCTGAAAAAGGGAGGATGAGAAAATAATGGAATTTTGTGAGCATGAACCTGAAATTAATATGGAAGGCTGTTTTTTTCTATTGCAATTGCAAGTTTTTATATCACAACTCCTACTTTTTTATAGAACTGTGAGACATAAACTTTGTGACTTTATATCTTATTATTCTTAGTTTACATCTTGCAATTCTGACTTTTTTGCTCAGAATTGTAAGTTTACATCTTGCAATTCAGTTTTTTTCCAAAGCAGAATAAAAAATAAAAAAGGTAATTGCGACCTTTATCTCACAATTCTGACTTTTCTTTTCAGAATTTATAATTAACATCTCACAATTCTGAGATCTGTAGACTAAATTGTGAGATATAAAATCAGAACAGAGAGAAAAAATGTAATTCTCAGATAAAAAAAAAAAAAAAAAATGCATTTAATCTGTTTAAAAGCGACAGTAAAATATTTGTTACAAAATATTTGTATTTCAAATAAATGCTTTTGAACTTTCTATTCATCAAAGAATCCTGAAAATAAAATGTATCTGTCAGACTCTGTTCCATGTTTTGTCTGTGTCTTGCTCCCCAGGTGTTCCTTTCCCATGTTTAATTTGTCCCAGGTGTTTCCCATGATGTTTCAATGCTCCCAGGTGTGTCTCGTCATCCCCTCCTCCTGTGTGTGTATAAATAGTGTTCCCAGTCCTAAGTTCTCTGTCCGCTGTTAAACGTCTTCCTGAGTTCGTCTCCCTTGGTTCCTGAAAATAAAGTCTTGGTAAAAGTATTCTCCAGCGTCTCCTCGTTCCTCGTGTATGTGCATCGTGACAGTATCATGGTTTTCACAAAAATGGTTTTCAACACTATTAATAATAAGTATATATAAATAATTATTGAGCAACAAATCAGCATATTAGAATGATTTCTGAAGGATCATGTGACACTGGAAACTGGAGTACTGATGCTGAAAATTAAAACATGAAAAAAATCTTACTGACCCTGAACATTTAAACAGTAGTGTGCTTAATGGAATAAAAGCTACTTGGTCCAATTTATGTGAAGTGTGACTGTTGGACAACAACTAGAAGTCTAGAAGTCTGGTTTCTTTCGAGAATCTGGAGCATGTGATCACTTGCAGCTTACCTTGCAGCTACACTCTCCGGTGGTTTTATTACAGTCCCTTTTGAAGCCTTTGCTGACATCGCAGTTACAGGGCCCACAGGTCGGGTATCCCCACCAGCCGCGAGCACAAGGTTGGTCCCCTCTGTGTGTGCACACAAACGTCAAAGTAAGAGTGAAAAAAAGAGACAGAGAAAAATACAACAGCGCAATAGTGCCTAGCAAAAGACATAGTTTAAATTTCAAACTTCACAGAATGAGACTCAAAACAGCTTCTATTGGGGACTGAGACTGATTGGAAGTTTGAAAAGGGGGGCATTTGCTTTGAAATTGGACATGAAATTCTGCTGTAAAATTAAAGCAGTCGATTCTGACTGCGAGGCAAACACGAAATAGCTTGTGTGAAAGCAATACATCATTCTAAGCTTTGTGATAATTTAAAAGAGAATCTTTTTATGGTAAAAGAAAGGAACAGAAACTAAATCATTTCAAAAATAGACTATTTTTTTCCACTCATGGAAATTCTTTTATCTGTGTTTTCCTCATTTTTGGAACAAGAGTTTCGTTTTTTTGTTATTGTCATTATTACGTTTAAAAGAAAATTCACCTTTAAAACTTTGATTCTGTTTTTTTAACTTTAGTTTATCTTTAATGGATGACATACTGGATAATTCCAGCAGTCTGAGAATTATTTTACTTGTTTCATTATAAATAAAAGCCTTACAGTGTGGGCGTCAAAGACATGTGGAATTACCAGAATTAAAGGATCATCACAACAATACCATCACAAACACTGCCAGCGTCTGCTATCACAGTTTTTGCCACTTACAAAACCTTGGCAGTTCATGAAACAGACCATCAGACAATAAAGCTGTTGTCAGTCAGCGTGTTTCAGCAAGTACCAAGATTTAACTAAAAGTTCAGTAATGTTCTTAATCCTAACCAAATCTAAACATTAAAGGGATAGTTCAACCAAAAATTAATGTTGTGCAATTATTTCCAAACCTCTAAGACTGTGTTTTTTGTATATACAATGAAAGTCAATGGGGTCCAGTGTTGTTTTAAACCCCATTGACTTTTACTGTATGCACAAAAACATTTGAAACATTCTTAAAAATATCTTTTGTGTTCCAAAGAAGAAAAACTTTTTTCACTCAAGGGAATGCAAAATGGTACATTTGGTTGCTTAAAAGACTACCAGCACAGCTTTGTTCAATGAGCTGCAAGATTTGAGGCAGCATTCATGTATGAAAAACAATTTGAATGTACATCCCTAAACCTTAGTGTGAGCCATATGAATGAATGAATCGAAGATACAGAGAGATACTCACTTGTGCTCACAGTATTGGCCATAGTAATTGTGTCCACACTCACAGCTGTAGCCACGTTTGGTGCTGGGTTTACGAACACAGGAGGAAGTGTGTTCACAAGGGTTCAAGAGACACGCATCCATACAGTCCCTGCCAAAATAACCTGGGGAACAGGAAAAGAGAGAAAAAGTGTGTGTCAGATTCAGAAAAAAAAGCTTTTGCACCCCACTATATAAATACTCTAAAAGTTTTTGTTCTGTAGCACTATTGGTGTTACCTGGCTCGCAGACACATGTGTGGGATGCCCAGTTGTCTGCGCAGCGGCTGTGAGATGGACACAGGTTGGACTGACATGCATCGGGTATGTTACATCCGTCTTTCGCGCGGATTCGCGTCGCATGTCGTATGTTGATGTTTGCAGTGTTGGTGGAGGTCTCGCCCATTCGCATACCCTGTGAAATGGCCACATGACGTACCCATGTGAATAAGACAATACACACCTTTAAACAATGTAAACGTGTGTTTATGTGAGTATACCTGCATGCAGCCAGTAAATCCAGCCTGCACAGTGCTGTCTTTCTTAAGCAGTCCACCGATAAACAAGTTCCTCAGTTTAAGCCCAGGCAGCTCGTTACCGATCTCCACTGTCCTCTAGATAACAAAACAATATAATAAATCAAATCAATATCATAAATATGAGTGTGAAATAAAAAAGTGTGAAAATATCACAGAATTGTGTGTATTTAGAGTATATAAGAAGCTTCAGTAGCAATAGTAAGTTTTATTAAGTTGAAAGTAAATTTGTATCTTCCTTTTTCATTTGAATTTTTAAAAAAGTTTTAGTTATTTTGTTGTGTGATTTTGTCATTATTGTTTTTTTTTTTTTTAAATATGTCGATATCATTTTTATTTGTTTTTCAGTTTTAGTTAATTTAGAAATGTTATATACTGTAAATAAATACTGAAATCATATACCTGAAACATGCCATAGTCCAAAGACACGAGAGCCATATATTTGATGTCTTTGCCATCTTTTCCACTCTTGAGCTCTACTAGCACATGGTGCCATTCACCGTTATCCACGCATACCTGAGGAAAATCTAAGAGCGCCACTCGTCGGACCCCCAGAAACACCTGGAACCGAAGGTGTCTGTTGTTCACCTGGAAATACAAAATAAGAGGCTGAGAAAACTAATACAAGTCTCATTTATCTGCTTTATTAAAGCAGGCTTATCATAGAAAACAGGATTAAATTGAGTGGATTACTGAAACACAATACTCACCATAATACTAATCTTGGAAAAATCTCCAGCACTGGCCTGCAGTAAAACGCCTGTGCTTTTTCGGGTGCGAAACATAAGACCCATGTACCAGGGAATAGCGATGGTGATGTCTGTCTCGCTCCATGACACCAATGCGTGGCCATCGAAATGCAGGGAAGCAGGCATAACTGTAGAAAGAAGAGCATCAGACAATTTAGATGACATCCAGACTTTAGTCTGTTGAATTAAATAAATGCCACTTGATGCTTTGGCATTCCCTCCTGTCCTGAGGCACAAATAATCACTATTATTCACACACAGAGGAATGTTTCCCAGTCAACCAGGAGATTTCTTAATCAGGAATGTGAAATGTTCTTCCACCCCAGTGTCTTCAGGGCAAATATTTTACTTTCTCTATATATGTGAGGGCTGAACTTATGGAAATAACAGTAGTATATTTTAGACCCAGCCCTGCGAGTGTGAAAGTGATAGCAGTGATATTCATAGTTGGGTCTAGGGGTGGACGATATGACCAAAATTTTTATCACGATATGAGTGATTATATTTCATGGTATCGATATATATCACAATATAGTTATTTTTGCTTTAAATATTGACTTCATGATCAAAATTTTTGATACCATAGAAATGTCAAAATTCTTGTCACCAGAGTCAGTATCACAAAAAAAAACTAATACTAGCCAAAATTTAAAACTGAGGACAAGTAAACAGTTAGCGATTAAACAAGAATAAGAAACAAATTACAAGCAATAGAACAAATAAATAAGAAATGCTACATACTGTACACTGTATAAAGTAATCAAATTAATAAAACTGCATATTCTTCACTTTGTAAATTAAGCATATATTTCTTCTTATCAAAGTTACAAAAGTGATTTAGTCAAGAACAGTGGAAGCTTTTCTCTCTTTTGTTGTTTGATTAACATGAATGACAGACAGCAGGAAGATTAGACTGCTGTCACTTTAAGACCTGCCCGGATTCAATATACTGTTACACGTGTTTTCTTTCTTGGCTGTTTGCTGTCACTTAAGATCTAAGTTACTGTGACTGCTGTCACTTTAAGAGCTGCCCGGATCCAATATACTGTTACATATGTTTTCTTTTTCAGCTGTTTGTTTTCACTTAAGACCTAAATTACTGTGTTTACAGTTTACCGGATACTTAAAAAGACATTTGACACATAAAAGTGTATAGGCCTATAAAGCGGCAAAAATAACTCCGTTCAATACTCCCGTGCTCTATGAGCACCGTCTTCACGAGCGTGCGCCTCTTTGACAGCGCTCAGAAACAGTCTCTAAGACAGCACGCGCATATAGTGAAATGAATTCTCTTTCTCTGCTAATTGCTTTTCAATGGCTTAAAATCACTTGTTTTTAAACTGCAATGCTTAAAACGCATGCAAACGGTAAGTTTTCATGACCACAGCAACATCATATGCACGTGTAATAGAGACAATAGTCCAAAATCTTTATCGGTTGACAAATTTCTACCGGTTAATCGTGTCTACCATTACATTGCCCCTCCACCCCCCAGTTGGGCCTTCTCTTTAGTTTTCCTCAATTAAGATTTTAGACCTTCGGTAGAGAGTAAGACTGTCCTTTTTGGAGTCCATGATCTCAGTATGCTGTAGATGTATGTTAAAGAGTTGCCTAAATGCTCTTCAAAACATCTGCTTTTGTATTTCACTGAATAAAGTAATTTAGTTTCGGGACAAACATGAGGGATTTAGATCTACTTGCATTGGCAGTATTATGACTTTTATGTTCTTTTGAAGTCTCATAACATGGCATGACTCCTCCATCCAATTGATAAGCAAAAATACTTAGAAAATGCGGGTTCAACCGGGTTTCCAATACAGGAAATTAGGTAAAACTAAGCTCACTGAAAATGTTAAGCCAGTTGCAATCCCATTCGCGCTCTTAAATCTTAACTTACTGTTAAAAGATACTCTTTGTGATTATAATGCACTTACTCAAACAGGTTTAGAGTGGAAAAAGATTGTGACATATAACCTGTCATTTCCTGTAGATGGATAGAATGATAAAACGATAGAACGATGGAATGACAGAACGACAGATAGATAGAAAGATAGACAGAACAACAGATAGATAGATAGATAGATAGATAGATAGATCGATAGATAGATAGATCCTGTTAATTGCTGAGTACGAGTCACTGGATTTGTTTACACATTGGTATTTCATGGAGGCCAAGGGCAAATCCGGGCAAAAGATGGGAGGCGTGTGTGTTTGTGTCCATTAAGCAAAATCAAGTCAAAGGAAGAATGATTTACAGAATAGAGTAGAAAGAGAGGATTATCTTACCATGTTCACAGTTCTTTCCTCCATAGCCTAATGGGCAGTTACAGGTGTGGGTGTTCCATCTATTCACACATACACCTCCATTCTGACAAACAACCTGGCTACAAAAGTCATGTTTTGCTGCACAACCTGAATAGAAAGGGAGAGCACACTTTAAATATTAGGGTTGGAGTCTGACACCTTAATGGAGAGTTACAAAAGAAAGAAAGAAAAAAAACAGTGCTGTGAAAAATTCTCATTTAAAAAGGTCATATGCACATTTTTTCTATTGTTTATGAACAATTTTTGGGGAGGTTGAGAAGGAAGTTGTGAGTTTTAAAAGTTAGAGTTTGTTTTTATAGTACTTCAAAATGAATTATTAAAAAAATCAAGGAAGATTTGTCATGATATGAACCCGAGAGTTTCTAACCTGCTAAGGTGCCATTGTTGGCAATAAAACTGGCCATGTCTATGGGCTTGCTGTCAATTGTCAGGTTCCTAATGCAGCCAACAAAGTCTCGGTTCTGTACAGGGAAATCCTCAGGGAGGTTTGGGACGCCACCCAGGAGCAGAGGTCCTGTTAGATCCAATGACCTGCAAACATACACACAGAAAGATCCCTGAAGCCACAAACAGTCCTAAACATTCTCCATTTTTAATGGCTTAACACATTCATAAGGTTCATGTGCGTGCAAACAAAAATATGTATAGTATAGTATTATGAGTAAATATTATTAGTATCAATAATACTATTATAACACTATCATCATAAATAATGTGAACATTTTCCACACTATTCAAGTAAAACTGTACAGAACCGTACAGAACCGAGACTTTGTTGGCTGCATTAGGAACCTGACAAGACTGCACACCGTCACACAACTCCAACCTCTTCATTAAGTTTGCGGATGACACGACTGTAGTGGGTCTCATTAGCAACAGAGATGAGACAAACTATAGGAGCGAGGTGAGCCGCCTGGCCGGGTGGTGCAGTGACAACAATCTCTCTCTGAATGTGGAGAAGACGAAGGAGATTGTTGTTGACTTCAGGAGAGTGCGCACTCAGCATGCTCCTCTGTCCGTCAATGGTGTGACTGTGGAGAGGGTGAGCAGCACCAAGTTCCTGGGTGTGCACATCACAGAGGATCTCTCCTGGGCTGACAACACCACAGCAATGGCCAAGAAAGCACAGCAGCGTCTCTACTTTTGACAATAAAGCAGACTTGACTTGACTTGACTTGAAAACTGTTTCATGATGACTTTAAGAAAACATTTCTTCTTTTGGCATTCACAACTTTTGGCTTGTTTGGGTACCACGAGTCAAAACGGTTATAGAAATAAATAAACAAATAAATACATAAATATATATAACACATTTTTATGCTGTCTGTTTTTCAATAAAAGAATAAAAAAGGTTCCAGGTTTTTGCATTATTTGCCAGAAACAAAATGCAGTTAATGCCCTTCATAGCCAAATTTCTTTTAAAATAAATTTTTATCCAGCAACATCTGGCAGGAATGATCATATCCATCATATCTATCTATCATACATAGAAAGGCAGTCAGATTATTAGATTTCCAAGTCTTGAAAAAAAAAGAGAGCCATTAGAAAATAAAATATGCAGAGCTATTAAAAGGAGTGTGTTTATTTTTAAGTTTTATCTAAAACATTATTTTGTTATTTCTGCTTTATTGTATCCAGATATGATGTGGTTTTGTATTTCAGCATCTGGGCTTCACATTGTAGTGGACCGCAGTGCATTTCATCAACAATTCATATCTTGATCCATAAATCCATGTAGATCTGTGGGTTTATGGGTCAGCACTTACTGCGAGCATATGGTCTGACCCCAGCAGTTGCATTTGAGAGGCTTTACAGACCATATCTCCACTTATCTCAGATGGAGCTCCACCATCTCATACCACTCTGTTCTCCACACACAGAGACAATTAGCCTACAATGGCAAATCCCAGCTGCAGATAAGCCGGAGTGTGGTTCCATTGTAAAGCCCATAAAACTGGTTTGACATGCGACAGAGTGCAGATTGGAGGAGATTAGGAAAAAAAAGATGGAGCTGAGTGTAAGGGGAGTAGCAGAATGCTGTGTAATCTGCTGTAATGATCAGCTATTCAACACCCGACGGTAGTTAGCGTGCCTTTGTGCGCTCAAGTTCCCCGTCCTGTCACACTCTCCCTTTCAGTGAACAATATCATGCCCTGAGGACTTTAGACGGTGGAAACATGAATGAATGTGGGAGACGGAGAGAGTGTGAGAAGAAAGAAACAAATAGTGCAACTTGTTAGTCAGGGATCACAACAAACATCTTAAGCCAACATGAAATCACAAATGAGACTATTTACTTCCTTAATCAAAAGCACTGTTTTGTGGGTTTTGCAACCCATTTAACCAAAACAGCATATAACGACACTGTAGGTACTGTCCCAACCAAACATTCTATGTCAAACGTTTGGCAATCTAGTCGACATGAAATTTCATATATTCAATAAATGGGGGTTTAGTAAATGTTTCCTCTTTTTTTTTCAGGTTTTTAAATGTTTTGTTGCTATAAATAATTAAGTACATACATTAATAAATAAAAAGTAAGATTAGCATAAAGAATAAAGTATTATTATTATTACTGATAATAAAATATATTAATATTATTAATACAGTAATAATAAAAATCATCATAAGAATAATATTAATTCATTCATTCATTCGACTGAAATAGGATATTCAACAAGAAAAAAATAAGCAAGTAAGTAAATAGTTTTTATTATTATCATCAATAATAATGGTTTTAATTTATATTATAACATTTTTTATTTCTTGTTAAATATAATTTTTCACTTTTATGTATGACATACTATACAAGTAAAAGTTGTAAAAAATGTTTTTACAAAAAGTTTTCCAGTCTTCATTTAGTTTTTATTTTTATTTCTTAGTTATTTGATAAAACAAATAAATAAACAATTGGTATTATTATTATTATCATAAATAATATATTTTTATCAACAATATATTTTTTTAAATGTTGAATATACTGTTTCACTCTATAGTTCTATATAGAACTATACAGGGATAGTTCACCCAAAAATAAAAATTCTGTAATTAATTAGAGAAGAATTGTTGAATAAAGTCGCTATTTTTTATAGCTTCATTAAATTACGGTTGAAGAGAAGAGAAGAGTTTTTGAATAAAGTTTTTATTTTTGTTGTCTTTGTGCACAAAAAGTATTCTCGTAGCTTCATAAAATGAAGGTTTTAACCAGTGATGTCACATGGACTATTTTTATTCTGGGCGTTGAACGGGTCAGTTGCATTGCTGTCTATGGGAGGGTCAGAAAGCTCTCGTATTTCATCAAAAAATCTTAATTTATGTTTTGAAGATGAACGAAGGTCTTATGGGTTTGGAAGGACATGAGGGATTAAAATGACAAATTAAATAATTTGTAGTAATTAAAGACAGAATTTTCATTTTTGGCTGAACTATCCCTTTAAATATGCCACACAACAGAAGTAAAATAATATAAAAACCTAAAAAATAGGTAGTAAAAGCAATTTTATGTTGACTGTAGGAAAACACTTACTTCTTTTGGCCTGTTTGGGTGCCACGGGCTGCACAGCTGTAATTCCCAATCTGTCCCCCGAAACGCAGAGCCATGGCCACATCACACTCATCGACGGCAACCACAGCAACCTTTTCCTCAGAGGGGCCGTGAGGGATGCCAAGACGCCCTATATTGGGCTTGAATTGAAACAAGTGGAAATGATAAACAACTCTGATTCAATGATTTTGATTACTGCTAAAATGTGATGGTACTTTTTATTTTTTATCTGACAGAAAAAAAAAAAGTAAAATAAATATTTTATAGTAGGTCTAGTACAAAAAATGTTATTCAGAGTATCATTATTTTTTTGCTTTTATATTGATATGTTTTGTAAATGAAGATCACACATATGTCACCATTAATCCTTTGTTTTAAATCTTCTTCTTACATCCTGGCTAAGAGTCCCAAAGTTTGTGTATCTGAATAGCATTTCCATTCAACCCTTTTGTGAGTTTGGAGATAATAGGTCTTGTTTGTCTGTAATCTTTAACACACAGCATGAGATGACTGTTTACCACTCGGTGACATTCTGTGGCTTTCTCAGCTCATCTAATTGTATTATGCCACAGAGATGCTGGCACAGAGGAGATACCAGACAAACAGAGCTCATCATTTCATGTAAAACCTCCCCAGAGACCCAAACTGTTTCCACAACACAGCCAAAATTTGTATTATCATCTGGCAACACCCTTCCCCCACACAAGAGTTTTTTCAAATGTTCTCAGCTCATTAAAACTGATTTTGTGGTGCGTATGATGTGCTGAGTTGTTCTTTGATGTCTGCCCTGTGGTGTTAAAAAATGTCCAAGTGACAGTTTGGTGTGATGTGAACATCACTCGCTCCTAAAGACAGTTCATTACACCACTGCGGTCACTATTCAGACTCGGATGTCTACAGAACAGAATTATCTGTGTAGAAAGAGAGTATAAGCAGAATAATATTCATATAGTGTTTGTCAAATTATTATAGACATAATGATCATAATAATAGCAACAATCATTTATTGTTGTTATTATTATTATTGAGTGTTGCTGTCTATAAATCAAAGGGATAATGAAATAAATAATAAATTAATGTTAATTTATAAACTTTGCATAATAATCCTAATGATAATAATAATAATAATTATTATTATTTTTAGTGCTGCTGTCAATAAAGCAAAGGGATAATTAAAATATGTAAATAATAAATAAATGTTAATACTTCTATTCAACTTTACATATCAATAATACAATAATAAAGTAACTAACTAAATAAATGAAATAAAAAAAATAATGTAATATTATATATTGAAACTATGAGGGTGCTCTGACTGTTTCTTTTCTCCTTTACTAACTTTTTACAAAAAATTCACACATTCATAAATTAGATGGCAGCTTTAATATTACTCTCAGTTTCTGCCAGACAGCAGAGATGAATAAGGCAATGTGAGTAGACTGTTAAACTGGTCAACAAGGAAAGCCATGAATGGGAGCATTCCTACACACTGACGCACGTGTCGTGGAATAAATCCAACTTGTCAAGGCCTGAAGCCAACTGTTCAGGCAACATCAGTCATATAACTTTAAAAATTGTGTGAAAACCTGGTGAAAAAAAATGGTTTGAGACGCTTTTTGACAGACCGAATACCATCCAAATATCAAGTTTCTACTGCTATTAAAGTGGTTGTACGTCTCTATTACAATTTTCATCAGGTGCACAACAATCTGTAAAGGAAAAAATATTATGAAAAGAAAACGGATTCAGGATCAGAGTGCTGACGACCCTTAAGAGGTCACTGCAACTCAACCCTCTGCCACTCTTAATAAGGATCCACCTCCATCGTAACGCCATGATGATCCCACAATCTCTCTTGTCTCGAGTCCACTGACAAAAATGAACTCAATGACAAGCTCAATGCCCTCAGGAACACACATGCACACAAATCCTGACAACAGCTATTAACCCCCAACCTTGTAACTCATCAGCCTTTTTGTTTCAAAGTTCAAAACAATAGTTAATAGATCCTGGGGCCTACACGTGAGTTTTTTTTCCCTTTCCAAATGTATTATTATAAGGCAGAAAATGTATGTTCTGTTTGGGGTCAGTGAAACCCAAAAGACATAGTAATAGCTTAACATACTTGACTGTTCTTTAATGATTTTTCTCAATCTTATGAGAACTGACTATAAACAAATTTTGATATCACGCTTCGTACGTGATAATTGAATCACCCCTAAATACAACACATGTATATACTGTAAATTCAATGACTTTTCACATGCTGTTACTGGTGTACAAAGTGTAGAAATAAACTGTTGCCAATTCATTTAGTTTTCTCATTTAATAATTTTTTTCTACCATGTGCATTTGCCAAGGTCAAATTTATCCCAAACAGAAGCAAATAAGCAAATCAGCATATGTGAATGATTTCTGAAGGATCATGTGCCACTGAAAACTGCAGTAATGATGCTGAAAATTCAGCTTTGCATCACAGGAATAAATTACATTGTATAATAATTTAAAATAGAAAACAGTCTTTTTAAATTGTAATAATATTTCACAATATTATTGATTTTAAATGTATATTTGATCACTTAAATTAAGTCTTGGTGAACAGAAGAGACTTCAAAAACAGATTAAAAATAGGGAAAAAAGGTTTTTAAAAACTATTATTATTTTTACACGTACATCATTGAGGTCTCTGTGACTTCAAACATAAAAACAGTCAGTCTCAACAAACTATTAGGTTTAAAACACTGCCAAACTGTGACTTAATGCAATGTTTTTTCATCATCAAAGGATTGTTTGTAAAAATTGCATTAGGTCGCCACTAGCTGGGACACTTTAAAGTGAGGAGACCTGACTCTTCAAAGCATCACTGCATTACAGCTGCATCCCATTGTGTTTGCTTATTATTACTCAAGGTAAATATCTGAAAGTGTATTCAAAAACATTTGAGTCCATTGACAAAATAACACAGAACAAGCAAAAGAAATCAAAGATCAATGGGGAAAGCAAAAGATCAATGGGGTCAAACAGAAGTGATTTACATTTTTTGAGTTTTTGAGTCACCATTTCACAATTGCTTAGCAATTAAATCTTGTTAGAAACTTTTGAATGTCAAAATAGAGATGACATTAGAAGATGAGAGATGGATTTCCGTACTTCACCACAACCTTTCCATATGGACGAGGCTCCAGATGGAGCAAAACTTCATGAAATAAAAAAGCATATTCTGGAGATTTACAATAATAGGCTGGAGCGTTTTTATGTTTAAGTGCAACAGAAAAAACGTGTGCCATCTGGCGCTTTTAGAAACTCAGAGCGTGTTATTGTAGTCCCGGATTAACTCAACAGGGGATCTGCTATTGTCTGTGTTCCCCATCAGACTATATTGAACTTGGACTCTTTAAGTGACGGGTTAAGGGGGAGCTACGGGCACAATGGAGCAAACACGACATACGAGTTGAATCTCAATAGACGGCTTTAGGGTCTGATTTTTCATTCATGTTTACAAGTATAAACGGTGCTCCAATCCAATAATACACTCGCTAACTTACATGCTACATTATATTAGATACATTCTGGTTGCAGCCACTGGTATTAATGACTTTCTTTTTTAACTTTTTTAGCCTTTCATCAGTTTAGTGCAACTTGTGTAGATGTTAAAAAAAAATTAAAGAAAATATGGACCCTCAAAAATAGAAAACTCAGCTATGTTCTTTATGAACAAATACTGTTTTAAAGTTAGGCAGCATGGAAATAAGGTTACTAAAAGGTCACTAAGGAACATAAGAAGGGTCGATGAAAGCTTAATGTATTCAAGCAGAATGAATTGCCCGTGCAACTACAATATGGTGAGGTATTTGCAATTGAGCGACAACAAACAACAAAACACTCAAGAACTATTTGTTTCAAAACACGAAGAACAAGAATTTAATACCGTATTAAATAATACTAACACTATGGGTTACAAAATACTCTTAAAAACAAGACGCTGTGTAATGAGATGCCTGGGTCACAGAATAAACGCACTTAGCTTTTGGCCATGAAACATGACACATGACATATTACACACGCACCAAACTTCATAAATGCTGCATCTCAGCAACTCACTGAAATATGAGGGTCTGAAAACTGAACGGGATCAAAGAAGCAGAAATACAAGCTGTTTCTTTTGACTGCAGTTCTTAGAAGATGCTGTGAACTTTGATACAGCTAGAGATGCCGCTGATATCACGTGTCTTCTTTCATGAAATATGGACACACTGATCTCATCAAGAAACGCGACTTGTGAGGCTCTGACTTTCTCTAGCATTGGAATAATAATTTGACTGAAATGCAAATAAAATGATAATGGACTTTAACTGGGTAAAAAAAAAATGAGTGGTGATTTTAGCACACATTTCTAATATTCTACCTGATTTGACCTAAAATAATTATTTTGTTAACATATCCTAATGTAAATTATATTTCAATAACCTAAATAAAACCAGTTTTAAAACCAAATTAAGCATTTTTACACACTTATTCATGAAGCACAGACAGAACAAATTAGTGTAAATTGTTTGTAAAACTATTCGTACAGAAAGTGCTGTCATATTCAATCCAATTCGTGAAAGATTTAAACAAATTTCATGATTTCATGAATGAGCCCCATTGGTTTTCCTTCACTGACCTTCCAACCAGCCTCCATTCTTATTGTGTTCAGTACAAATGACTTACCTTGTTGTAGTAATGTAGATGTACTCTGTGCCATTGTCCATCACTAACCCCACCAGCTACAAATGGAGTCACCGTGGTTTTAGTTTCTCCTAAAAAAAAATAACAAGAAAGAAGAAACCAGTTTTGCTGAAATTCAAGAAAGAGTAATTCTGCTAGTGATAATTGGATAAGGAAAAAATGTTTTTAACATGTATAATATATATTTTCATGACAACAAAATGAATATAAATACACAATAATATTTATATAATTAATATAAATATTAAATAAGTTCTAAATACTACATACTGTATATATAGTTTAACACAAACAAATTAATTGGCTCCAAAGCACCTTGAGGATTTTAATTTGTGTGGCATTTTTCCAGTCTAGTGGACAAAATAAGTAAATCATTATCGAGGAGATAATAGTGTGTCAGGACCTCCCATGACAGCACTTTCCCTCAGTGCATACAATGTCAAATATCTTAGTTGTTTATATCTCTCTCCGACTCAATTATGTTGAGTGATGGCTAGTAAGCTGGGACAGATCTTTGACCTATGAGGGTTCATAATTTACCAGAATCGCTGTGTTGTTTGATGTTTTACATTCCAGGACAGTGGAGGAAATGCCTTTCACTGTCTTTATTCTCAGCTCATGTGGACGGGTGACCCTCAGTGTTGTACTAAGACGTAACAAGCATCTGCTTATACCAAGACACTCTAGGGATGAATTCCACTGTCGTATTTCCTTTGGAAACAATTCTGACCCATTAAAGAGACGGGACATGGTATTTCACACTCACTGACTGGACAGTAACTCTTGTTGATGTGTGAGGTTTGACAAAACAAAGGAACAGGTAGACAGAGGAAGTGTGTTTTAATGCTCTTTGGCCACCTGTTTCCTTTGGCAAAGCTCTGGATACATACGCACTTATGTTTGAGATATGACACTCAAAAAAGTAGCTTTTTTCAGATTCAAATATGACTAAAACCCATTTAGTTGTTTGCAGTTTGAGCAGACAAAAACAAAACGAAAAAAGAAACAAAAAAATGAAATGAGACAAAACAACACAACACAAAATGAAACAAAAACAAACACATTTTGCAAAAACACAAATGAAAATAGTTTTTTACAAATTTGATTCAAAAATATGTAGTTTATTTAATTTTTTTAATATATGTGACTGCAATAAGGGTAATATCATTAAAACATATTTTATTGGTTTAATTTTTTTTTTTTTATTAAACAAAAGCACTGGGTACTGTTCTTAAAATGTAAATTATTATTTGAAATTTTATATTTTTAAATTTTATATTCAAACTAAAATGAATTGTCTTACTTACCAGCAGAGAAGGTCAGCTGGATTTGCTCTTCAATAATTTCAATCGCAATGAAATCATGCCTTTCATTAAACCTGCCATTATATAGGAGCAGGGCGTTTCTCTCCCTGGTAGCAAACCTATGAAAAAAATAAACAAATTAATAAAACCTTAATGAAGACCATAATAAGCTTGTTCAATTCAAAGTGTAAATTAGGATCCACAGGCCATTTAAAAAAAGTTTCATAAATTAGTTTTAATCATGTTTTACACCAGATTTATCATATTTTAATCAGACATTCCATTTGAATGAATATTCATTTCAGATCCACAGATCAAGAGCAGGAAAAAAAGCTCAGGAACGTCCTAAGATCACTCCCAACACAAACATGCAGGCTTGACAGAAGAATAAAAAAAGATAGGGAGTGGAGGAAAAGGAAGTGATAAAACCTGCCAAGAGACACAGCTAGAGGTAATGGACGGGGGAAACTGATACTCTGATGTTTGCCAACCTCTGGTATCTCAGTTGGCCCTGTGGTGCGGGCACCTGGGATTTTTGCAGGGAGAGGTGTCAGATAGCACATGGCAAAGGGGCAGACTCACAGGAAGTTTGAACAAAGATGCCTCACCACACGCAGCATCCTGTTTTCATGTTTGCCATGAGAAGAACTCGTGTGGTTGATATGCGACGGTGTCTAATTTGCTAGATCGGTTACATGGTAATTAATAAATGCCATAATGGGAAAGTGAGGAGACGTTGAGAAGGTTAAACAGGTGTTTACCTGTACAATTTTTTATTTATGTTTTTGCAGGACATTTTTCCAGGACACAACTTGTATGAGAATTAGATGTAATTAACTAAGTGTGACATAAAAATATATATAAAATGAAATAAAACAATTTAAAAATAAAAAATATGATTAATTAAAAAAACTAAACTGAAACTATCAAATCCTAAAAACAAAAAGTGAACATTAAAACGTTTAAAAATACTATTATATAGAAAAGCATTATTTTTATTCATACAATCGGTCATTTTATTGATTATTCATTGAGATCTTTTAAAAAAATATATTATTAATTAATTAATTAATTAGTATTAGTCTATTATTTATTTAGTATAAGAGCTTTTTATTTTAATAGTTCTTATATATATATATATATATATATATATATATAAATTATTAAAACAGAAATACTTAATTATTATTAAGATATTTTTATTTTAATACTTAAAATAATAAGATTTGAAAATGCTAAATAATAACCCTCAGAAAAGAAACACTGTTGACAGGAGTGCATGGATGGATGGATGGATGGGTGGGTGGGTGTATAAACTGATGGATGGAGTAAGTCTAGATGGTTTACTCACGTAAAGGAAAGGGTGAAGTGAAATCTCTGCCTCAGGCCTCTGAAGGTGATGAAGGACTGGCCAGGGAAGCTGCGTGTGGTCATCTCGCAGTAGGGCTTCTCATACTCGCCATCAGGACACTGGCACAGGAAACCTCCCACCAGCAGGTCCACACACCTGCCACCGTTCTTACACACACCAGGAACACATCGGCCTGAACGCGCATTCACCTCACAGCGCTCTCCTGAAAAGAAAATACCCAAGATTTTACCAATCTGAAAAACCTTTTTCCATTATAAATTTCCTTATTGTGCAATGGAAATGTTTCATGGATGTTAAAGGTTCTTCATGGAACCATCAATGCCAGAACCTGTATTTTCAAGAATATAAAAAAACCCTCATTTTTATTTTATTATTCTCCAGCCATGCAAAATGAGGTAATAAACCTACATTTCATGCATCCACTGCCACATAATAAGTGCAATTCATCCGTGGAACTCAATTTCTGATAATAATTGGAAACTTGTTCTCTTAACCCAATCACTTGAGTGAGCTTAGTTTTAGTCCCGACAGGACAATGGCTTCCAGTTCTGTCTAAACGAGAAGGCTTCAGAGAGACCATTGAGCCGCATGCTTAGTGATTCTGTGCTCACTGACCCAGACTAACCTTTGTTCATACTCTAAAGAAACAGGACCACTGCCAAGCAATGGAAGAACAAAGAAAGAGCCCTGGTGGTCTGTAAGACACCTGTTATGCTCCACTAGGCTCTTGTAATGTGACATGAGATGTGGGGTGAACCGATGACGACTCTCTATTGGAAGATGCCGCTAGCAAAGTGACATCATTCACATTGTTACAGGTAGATGTTTGCCAGAGGGCTCCTTTGATATTTATCACAATATACAATTCTGAGACTGAGTTTAGGGCATTTGATCAAATTAAGATATAATTCAAGAAAAACTCAGTTGAAAGTAAGACTGCTTTGCTTTATATTGCAATAAAGGTCAACTGAACCTGATAATCTTGTTTCCTGAGTGTTTTTTTAGCCCTGTTTTCATATATGTGTCTTGGTATGTGTGTACAGGGTCCAAAAATGTATTTTTGCCACACCTGTTGACAGCAGGTGAAATAAAAATATCAATAATAGTTAATAATTAATAATAATAGTTAATAATAATAATAATAATACTACACATAATTGCAATTCAATTTGGAATGTAAAGTAGAATTAAAAATAATTGAAATTTAAAAAATTCTATAATCTTGAAAATTCTTTTCAAGAAAAGTTTGTCAAGATAGATCGACAGATAGATAGATGCTAAATAAATATTGCTGAACCATATTTAGCATTAAAATATATTGTTAATTTAAAAAAAGACAACTAACAATGAGTTATTTAAAGTTTTATAGCATATTTGTGGAAAATTGTGCATGACTGTTTCATCTACAGCTTCATACATATACATATAAAACATTAATTGACACATTATGATTTTGTTCTACATTTTTTAATTTTAGTAGCTTACTGTGAGTATTTCATATGATTCACCACATTCAACTTCCTAAAATAAACAGGATCCAGAAATAAACCTCTGAGGACAAACTTTCCACTGACGTAAAAGTTGTTAGAATGAGCAGTTTGTATGTCTTAGATCATATACCCATTTATAACTGTTTATTTTACTCGCCACAGTCAATTTTTACTTATATTAGTCACTTTCTATGTGGTATTTTGGACCCTGTGTGTGTGTATCTAGACGTGTGTGGTTTGCTTTCACCTGAGATGGACATATCCGCACAGGACACAGAACCATGCCGATAACAATCTCCCCCAAAATCCATCACCATGCTGACAAACGCAGTAGCCTCAGAACAAACATCTGAGGTTTGCTTGGAGGACTTTACCTTGTTGGACTTGTAATCCTGTATCTCTGATTCCTGGCCAGCTCGGTGTGCGCACCATTGAGTACCTGCCATTAACTTGACAAGATCTGGGCCCAGAGGAACTATGTCGACTGGGACACACAAAAGAGGTTCCAAAGAGGTAATGATCCAAATGTCGGTCAGATAATCCCTCATTTCGGAGGAATTACAGGGATACATTACTCTGTAATGAGAGAAACCCATGAGAGGAACTACAGAGGCCACTGTCAACACCTCTAGTTATGACCACATACTACCTGAGGGCTCAAGAGGGCAGAGGTTCACTACTCTTTACTGTAGTCCAGAAACCTGAGCTGACAAACAGACAGAAGCTGTCAAAGTGAATGATCCAGTGCGGGAACTCTGAACCTTGGGACTGAGAGTCTGGATGCCATTCCTCCTGTCAAACTTACACAGGATAATTCCTTCCCCAAAGAGCGGATCTCCATTCAAGTTATGACAGAAGCAAAACTAATGACGCTCTCACGAGTCTGAGCAACTTAGAAGGGAACAATTTGCAACCAATTTGCAATCAACTATCCATACAAAACACACAAAAAGTTTTTTTTTTTGTGGTGTTTGCTGTGGCATACATCACTATTAGCTCACTATTGCTTGGAATTAGGTTAGGGATGTGAAGAAACCACTATCCGTCAGCAACTTTTTTGACATAACACCTCAAATCATGCCATTTTAGAAAAAGTGTGGTATTACTTTTCTTGCAATTTTCAATTGCCCGATAATGAATTGGGTATAGACGTGTGTGCCATTTAGACCTGAATTGAGAATGCTGTTGAAATCTGCATTCACTTCCTAATTTTGAACGATAGACGGACGGACAGACGGATGGACAGACAGACAGACAGACAGACAGAAGGATGTACGGACAGATGGATGGATGGATGGACACATGGACCTACAGATAGTCAGACAGATGGATGGACGGGCGGATAGATGAACAGACCGATTCATAGACAGATACATAGACGGACAGTTGGATGGACACAAAAAGATAGATGGATAGATGGACAGAAGGACGGATTTATGGACAGACAGACAGACAGATAGATGGATAGACAGATTCATAGACAGATAGAAGGATGGACATATGAATGGACAGACAGACAGACAGATAGATGGATAGACAGACAGATACATAGACAGACATTTAGAAGGATGAATGGACGAATGGACAGACAGACAGACAGATAGATGGATAGACAAATACATATATAAACAGATAGATGGTTGAACGGACAGATAGATAGATAGATAGATAGATAGATAGATCGATAGATAGATAGATTACCAGATACTGACCTGTAAAATCTTGCGGGCACTCACAGGTGTATCCCCCCTCTCGACTGCGGCACTTCCCGTTGTTCTGACATGGGCCTGAGTAACAAAGGTCCACCTCTGTCTCACAGTAGTCTCCAGTGAAACCGTCAGGACATCGACAGCGTAACCCGTTCATGGGGTGTATGGGCCTGAAGAGAACTGTGTTGGACGCCACGAAGGGAGCCGTACTGTCAAACTTCAGAACAGCTACGCACTTCATGTAGTTCTCACAGGGCTCCCGCAAACAGATATTATCATCAAACGGCAGGACGCGCTGAGTCGAGATCAACGTCAACAACGTACGGTTCAGATACAGCTGCTCCTGCAGCTCCTCTGACGGGAAATAACGTCCCGGAGCTCCACCCGGGAGCAGGGCCGAGAAAGTGACGTTGACAATGCTGCCGCTAACGTCCGTGTCATTTTGGACATTGAAGACGAAGACACCGTCAGGACTGGTGGACAAGACTGCGGCTACGCCTTCAGTAAAGAGAGACAGCAGAGGGGAGAGGAAACGCTCTTGAGACATGTTCTCCAGACGAACGGTGATGCTGTTCGTCAACATGTCGTCCGTTATGATGGTCACCCGTAGGGTGCAGAGGGCCGAGACCTGGTGGAGTCCATCTGTGAAGACACAAAGGCACATTGAGAGACTTGGTTAATGTTTAAACTGAATTGAATGGCATGGCAGGGGCTGGCAGGTGGTAAGTTTACATTCTTGTGGGTAAGATGAACTTTGAGAACATGCTGGAACATGGAGTTTAATTCTGTGATTGTTCACCAAGCATTTCGACCTTCACAGTTTTATGATCTTTTTTTTCAAACTGTTTGAACAGCAATACAACCAGCTTCCTGTCAAGCAATACATCAACTGTGAACACAAAAAGAAAAATATGCTTGAAAAGTTTGGTGTGGAGAGGTGCTGAATATCTGTTGTATTTTTTTTAACAGGGAAAATATGAATATATTATTCACATACTTATTTGAATTTAAAGTTTATTACAATCAACATTATTATTATTGATAACAACAAGTTCACCAATGTTTAAATGAATTAATAAATGTTTACCATTAACATTGGTTTTAATATTATAATTTTTTTACAAGTATAAATATGAATAGATAATTCTGATACTTATTTGAATACAAGTATATTTTTTATATTCCTGAAACATATTGCAAAAAATAAAACTGTATTATTATTATTACTACTACTACTAATAATAATAATATAACATGATGATGATGGTGTATTATTATTATTATTATTTAAATAAAAGTGTATTATTATTACTACTACTAATAATAATAATATACAATTATGATGATAAATAAATAAATAAATAAACTGTTTATTTGTTTATTATTTATAGACACATACATACATATTATTTGTATACAAGTATTTTTTTTATATGTGACCAAATTTGACAAAAATCATTATTAAATATTATCATTATTATTAGTGGTATTATTATTATTGTTAATAGTAATGAAGCTACAAACAAACAAATAAATAAACAAATAAATACTGTTATTATTATAATAACTACTATTATTCATTTATTTTTTTAGTTAGTTAATTAGTTAGTTAGTGGTGGGGCCATTGGAAATGTTGGCAGAGCAAAAAATAAATAAATAAAATAAAATACACCTTCCATTTAATTCATCCCCACTTTATCATTACCAAATGATTAAGAGCAAAAGCATCTAAGTCTGGCTGCTGTGTCACATTTGCTCTGTCCTTTAGTTTGACAGGTATTGTTCATGGTCCAGTGTATTCTCTTGTAGCAAGTGCGGGTTCCTAGTGTAAAGGGCCCCTCTGTCATGTGAATGGAGAGAGCTATAATTGCAGGACAATGAGGACATGTTTCCACTCTGTTACACTGTCCTTTCACATACTGTCAGCTAAGCCAGACACGCAGTTGCAGACACAACAAGGAGTTTCTCTCTTGCACGCACACACATTTGCACATGCACACAAAATGCCATGCATACACATTCAACTAAATGTGTTGCACTTTGTGATGCAATTTGTTTGCAATTTAACTTATTTCACTGGTGTGTTAAACAATTCAGTTTAACAAATATTACCCTTCTTATTCTCATTATAACGTATAATTGAGGAGATAAAATATATATTTTTTTATATAAAAAATGCACAATATTACTGATCATAAAACATGATTTAAAAAGTACTTCCTATGCCAGACATTTTTTTTTTGTAGATTATTATAAATATTTTGACACCTTATTCAATTAATTAACCATATATCATGCAATTTATTACATTCATTTTTGTAATCGATTCACAATAATTTCCTAACTTTATGCTTTATTAAAAATGGAATATAATCACAATTTTCCCACAAGTAAACATTTTCTGCAAGGGAAGCAGCCTAATAACAAGTCACATCCTGTTCCATTGTGTTCATAATACTCAATAATCCCATAAACTACTAAACTGCTTCTTTTAAATATGCTTAATAAACTTGCTAAATCTTGCCAGAAATCTGATCCGTATGCTGAGAAGAAGAGAGTAATGTATATGTTAAGTGCTTTCTTACTTTTTGTCTTTCCTTTAATGAGGTCTGCAATAAAATCCCAACTTTGTATATTACAGCCACTCTGAAATGCATTAAGTCTCTCTCTCACTGTTGATTCTCTTACCAGTAAGTGCTTCTAAAGCATAACAAACACTCTGGCATATAAGAAAAAATATTACAGAGACACTTTACAATAAAGTACCGATGAAAACTGATCCAAGCACGTCTCTAAAAAAATCTGAAGAAAGCACTACTGCTGTAAATGTCATTTTTTTCCAGACATAATGTATTAACTAGTCATTTTCACTACCAAAATGTGTATCATACAAAAGTCATGAAAATGTCCTTTAAATCAAACAATAAAATGGCATAGACATGAAAAACTGTTAACTGCCAAGCCTAGTTTTTCCCACCAGAAAAAGTGTTCAACAAACAGATCATTCTCAAAGTTGTCCCACACATAATAAATCGGCCTACAGGTGTGATCTTGGATCTCCTCCAGGAAACAGCTTGCACAAAAGAATGATAAGACTCCAAGATCTGTCTATACGATCAAATAGGAATCGCTGTGCTAATACAAATATTGTACACAAGTGTGGGTGGTCCAAAGGAGAAACTTTACCAATTGATTCCACAGTTTGCTGAACAAGAAAACAAAGCGAAACACTGTACATTTAAATGGAAAAGCGGCCTAGATACCACTGCGCCACAGGAAGCTCAGCTTCATCGAATCCCTCAAAACTGATGGCGGAGATTATGACACTAGCAAAGTAAACTAGGTTGAAATGTTCACAGTTTCACTTGCCAACACACTCCTTTGTAGGACCACTGAGCTGTGACAGTGTTTACAGCCTTTGCAAAGAGCAAGTGTCATGTTCAGTTTTCTTTTCAAACAATCTGAGAACGAAGGCAAACACATAGGGCAGCTTTTCGGGACGGAGTTTTCTGAGGGAAGAAGCCAAACAATCTGTGCAAAGATAAATGTTCAGTGTAGTTTACACACTCACAGGAGCTGGCCTGCAAACGAACACACAGTGGGAATTTAGAGTGTTAAACTGTTCTATAGATAATGCCAATCTGGCAACTGGTAACCAACCATGTAGATAGCATGAATCAAAGATTTGAGTCTAAGGCCTCTTTCATCAAAATCTGCACAAAATCGTGAGATTGTATGATATCATGCCATCTCATACAATTTACTGTGATTTTTCATGAGAACAAGTTGCCTATTTACAGCAAGAGTGATGCGTCAAAGCTACGATTCTTCATACCAAAGATATTTTTAAAAGATATTTACTTAAAAAAAATTCCAGCATATTTTAATAAACAATAATGATATTAATATATTTTTTATTTTAAGTGATGAGATGTGAGCAGCAGTGAAGATGTTTTTGATCAAATAACACTTAGTGTTGGGTTTAATGCATTACTAAGTAATTAGTAACTCTAATTTAATTACTTTTCCCTTGAAAAAGTAATTCTTAATTTTTCTGTAATTTAATAACAATTACTTCTGATGTAATTGCATTAAATACTGTATAGACTATAGAACAATTCTTTATTAAAAACAATACTGGATTTAACATTAACATTTACATTTAATGTTAAAATGTATGTTTTTAATGTCACTTTCTCCCTTTAAATACTTTGGTCAGTTCAAGAATAATTTAGCATCGATTAATCGCGATTAATCACATCTAAAATAAAAGTTTTTGTGTACATAATATATGTGTGTGTACTGTGTATATTTATTATGTATATATAAATACACACACATGCATGTATATATTTAAGAAAAATGTTATGTTTATATTTTAAATATATTTATATATATATAATATAAATTATATGAATATAAATATATACATGAAATATTTTCAAAATATATACTGTATGTGTGTGTCTTTATATATACATAATAAATATACACAGTACACACAATTATATTATATAATCAAAAACTTTTATTTTGGAAGTGATTCATCACGATTAATCGTTGCCCAGCACTAATTTTATATTATTATTTGAAAGAATTAAAAGAGCAGTTTCATGTCTATCCTTGGTCAAGGCTGATATAGGATTTAGAAAGTATAAGTAAAAAACAATGCAATACATTTTAAAGAGAGTAATTAGTACAATAATCTAATTACACTGTTGAAGATGTAATTAGTAGGCACAGGCAGCAATGAATAACTTTTTAGAGTAACTTACCCAACACTGACAACAATTCTGATTTAATAAAATAGACTTAAAATATACAGACTACTGGACTACATTTATGGTTGATTTGATGGAAAACACCAATGAGAACATTCTGCTAAACCTCTTCTTTTGTGTTCAATGGAAGAAAGAAAGCCATACGGGTTTGGATCAGCATGAGGGTGCATAAATAATGACAGAATTGTCATTTATGGATGATCTAATGCTTTAAATATGGAGTATCGCGGGGTGAGAATACAAAGCCCAGAATACAAACACACCAGACTTATTTTTCTCTTTTCAGTCATCTATCCTTAAACACTCCTCAAGAAGCATGTGGGAACATATACTTGGACAGCTGATTGGCAGTTGGCTAGTGCAACAGTAGCAGAGACTGACAAAAACCTCCTGCCAAAGCATCATTTAGCCAACGCCAAAACAAATGTCCTGCTTCACCAGCAGTGGCCACAGCAACATCACGGCTGATGGCTGACCTAAATATGTGCGAAGCCGAGCCAACTGGTGCCCAGCACACAATAGGCACAGCTGAGAGAGACGGGCTACTGAGTGCAAAAGGCATTGAGGGCAGGGATGTGCCCCTCTGAAAATTCATCAAGTATTTGAGAGGACTCAAATCCCATTTCCATCACATAAGAAAAGATACTAAATCGTAATTATGAGATAAAAAGTCAAAATTATGAGATACTAACTATGAATTATAATATAAAAAGTTGACATTTATATAAAAAGTAGAAACTGAGATTGACATAACTCATAATCATGACAAAAAGTTAAAATTGCATAAAAAGTCTAATTATTAACAGTCAAAACTGTAAATCATAATTATGAGATGAATTTAATGACATGTTAAGTCATAAG